AATTTTTACATTTTTAGTATTTTGGAAAGGTCGAAAATTTGGGTTATAGCTGCTCGAGCGTGACCGTTTGCAAGCGTATAAACCTGATAAGTAAATTTCAAAAAACCGTTCGAAAGTCCTTCCAAGAGAGTCTATTGCCACACGCCAATGGTCAAGAGCAACTGTACAGTAAATAAGCCAGTAAGAAAAAACAAAAAAAAACCAGAACAACCCACATATCTCAGTCATCTGCAAAAAAAAAACTCGGGAGGACTAATATCGCGGATTAAAAATTAAAGCAACAAAAGCTGGTAAAAACATCCAAAGCTGTACCAACTATCCGAGAAAGAATTCCCGAGGCGCTCAATATTTTTAAATATCATACTATGATCTTCCAAAAATATTCAGTTTAGCAAAATTGCCTGACCAGTCTCCTGTAGAAACAATCATAATTTTGCACCAATATTTTTAAGCCAGTTTTTTAGCATGGCTCTACTTCACTCTGTAACAAATAACTACACTTAAGCTCCACTAAATATTCGCAAGACCCTCTAACGCTGCGACACAAATCGACCCACAATACTCCTCTCATCATAAAAAGTTAAATACTATCAACACTGTCTTCAAAATAGATTGCAATTCTCAGACCAGAATGAGTTCTAGAGCAATTTAACAACCATATATTATATTAATGTGACAACACTGTTCTTGGCATTTATCTCTAATATGAGGGCAAATAGGCAAACACTAAACGTTGCATGTTCAGATAAGAAATGTTTGAGCTTCTTACCAAATGAAATTTTTATATCCAAATAAATATACAACAGTTGGTACGCAGGTAGAAGAAAGAGCGCAAGTCATCGGAGTCTAGAAGTAGAAGTTGTTGAACGGGCACTTAATTATTTATAAAAAAAAAAGTAAAAAAAAAAAAATTGTATCGTTTAACAGAGTAATGGGAGCAGAGCTTAAGAATTTCTTGGAAGTCAACTTCAGTGCATGTACAGGTTTCAACTGACAAGAAATGCTTCGTAGCTAAGATGATTAAATAAATATTTGATTACAAAAACTAAGCTCAACAATGGCACGTGATAAATTTGTTTTTTAATATATCATGCAGTTTATAGAAAGATCTCTTAGTAATAATAATAGAAAATAATTGGTATCAAAGATAGAAATGGAAATCTAAAAAATTATTAAGTTATATTGGTGCAATCCAATGCGAAGTAGATAACAGTGCTCGGTCTTTTAACTCAGCCGAAACTAGGAACGCGAATGCTGCCTTCAATCAAAGTTAAGTTATTTAGAGTTGAAAAGATTATACACAAAATGCCACCAAAAAGAATGGAAAGAAAAGTTGAACGCAGTGAAAGACGAAAGCTGTTTAGACAATAAGCTCTTCAGTCCAAAACAGTTGACAACCTTAACCACTTTAACAAAATTATATTTAAAATAATATGAATTTGAGATCAAGAGTATTTTAAAAACTTGACAGATATCTATATGTTCCTAAGAGGTCACATTTTTAAGTTGGAAACCCGATGCTACATTTATTTAAAGAACAGGCTCAAGATTGTCGTGCAAAAGACTTTAAGTTAATGTAATCTGTTAATCAAATACATTTTATTTAAAAATCCGTCATATGAATTCTCAAACATCTTGGACTTAACCTTTAAATTACACAGTGTTTTAAAGCTTCTCGGTACTCGAAATATAACATCAACTTTCAAAAAATTCACTCAAACTTGTACCAACCGAAAACACCTTGATCTATTCGGCGTGGAGTTTAGTAAAAGCTCGAAGAATGTCTTTAATTGAGTTACAGTCTTATTGAAGTGTATGTCTTCTAAAAATTTTCTTAAATCCTAACCTAACAAATAGGTTTCTTATAGATCATGATAGATTTACCGATTTACATATGTAGGTAGATCCTGTCGAATATCTCTACTCGCTCAAGTTCTTCGGCATTCAAGCTTGGGTTCTATAGAATTTTATTCCTACTAAGCTCTAACGATGTTGCTCACTGAGAGTTTACCGAATGAATCTCTCACTTCATTCCCACCAAACAACCATCTTGTGCTAGGAAAAGTTGTAGGTTAGGTTTTAAGTAGCGACAAATCCCTCGAATTATTTTGACTACTTGCTTCAGAAATGTTTTGAAACAATAGTTATTTAAAAAATTCTACAAATCTGGCCACTCCGTCACGCAATTTTATACACACTTTTCAACTATAGATTTCTCAAAAGAATACACTCTAACCTCTACTGCCATGCGCTGCACGCGTTCGCTTGCGTAACGTATCAAAATTTTACTATAAATAATTGCAGTTTATAACTTTTTACTTCAGCATGTAAAGTAACGACATTGTTGTTTGTGTATTCCCTATTTATGCGTGTGATTTTTATTTTTTAGTATTTATTTTTTAGTAATTAAATAAGTTTTTAATAATTTTTTTAATTTTTCCAAACGAAAAAAACGAAATACATTTTGCGCACACATTTATATAGATACATATATTTATTCATAAGTATATACTCTAATGTATATGTATGGTATATATATATTCTTAAAAGCCAAATCGACAATTTCACATCTCTTTTTTACTATCTTCTACTACACACAATACAGTTACATAATTTTAGTCAAATGTCCGTACGCTTAATTTTTTTTCAATATTATTATATATGTATATATATCTTTACTTCGTATATGTATATATGCCACTTAAATATGTACTTCCTATGTAAAACTATATTTACCATAAGACTCGGTGATCAGTACTTGTGTGTGTGTGTTTGTTTGTTTGTTTCTGTGTATGTTCGTGAATGTGTTACTAATTGCTTTCGTATCTTGAAAACCTAGTAAAACCATGGACTAACTCTCTCGCAAAAAATTCGAGTAAATGCAAAAAACAATATATTTATATACATATATATGTATATATATATTATATGTATATATTCTTTACAAACATTACTTAAGCCGCGTTAAAAGCCAAACTTTGTGTGCCAGTTTTATATTATTAAAATATAAAAAGTACAAGAAATTTATATCTAGCCTTTATTACCAATATTGATTTTTGTAAAAAAAAAATTTACTTTATTGTTTTAATTTAAATAAATAAAATTAAAAAATTAGATTTTCTTAACTTCTTAAATTTTTACGAATTTTTTGCAAATTTTTTTTTTGTTTAATTGGAAAAAATTGTAAGGAAAAAATACATGCAGCCGTAAAATTTATTTTTTCAGTGTGAAAATTTAATTAATTAATTATTTAAAAATAAAAATCACAATTGATAAATTAAAAAAGTTAATTCATTAATTTCAATAAATTAAATTGGTTTTTCTATTAATTAATTTTAATTTAAAACAATACATTTTTTTATTAATTATATAATTTAGTGCATTTTTTTCTCTCCATGCTGTATTCGCTTTTTCATTATTAATACAATATTACTTTCACTGCTTGGTTTTGAATTTAACAGGCACGGAAATTTTTTATACAAAGCAAAAAACAAAAAAAATTTAATCTACACAAATTTTCTTTATATTTTTTGCATCCGAAAATTCCAAACCTTGCAATATGTTCTTAAAAAAATGTTTCGTTAACATGTGAAAATTATAATTTACCTAAATTTATATTAATTTTATTTTTTTTAATTTGTAAAACTATCTCAAAGCCTTTAAGTTATTTTTCATACAAAGCTAAAATTTTAAACATGCAATAATGAAATAATTAATACAAAATTGTTAAAAAATTTGTTATATAAATATATGTTAAAATAGTTTACTTTTTTCCAAAGCATCGATTTGAATTTAAACAAATTTTAAATATTCTTAAAATACAGTTTATAATAATTTTGAAATCAAAAAAATATTTGCCAAATATTCCTAAAATGTTTTTTTTTTATGAAAATATAAATTAATATAATTTTTAGTCACTATACATTTTGTTACTTTTTTTATAAATTATTATACTATAATAATAAATAAACCAAATTTGTCGTTCTTTAAAAATTGTAGTTATTAAAAATTATCTTTTTTTTTATTCTTGATGTGTTAAGAAGTTCTTTAAAGATATTTTGCTATACTGTTTTAATTCTTACAACATTTATTAATTTCGAAAAAAAACTGGAAATATTATGAAAAAAAACTTCTATTTATTTAAATATTAATAATTTATTTCAACAAATAAAATTTTCTTTCATAGGTTTTAAAATGTTCAAAACTTAAAGAAACAAAATCTTTTAAAAATTATTTAAAAAATTAAAAATGTTTTTTTAGTAAACACATTAGAAATATTATTTAAAAACTAAACATTTTTTTTTAATAGATTCCAATATTTTTTTAAATGAAAATCAAAAAAAAATTAAGTAAATAAAATTTTATGGATGTCTACAAAAGAAAATATTTATGTTATTTTGTTTTAGTTTATGTACTCCTACAAATATACTTGATAAATGGTGCTAATAATATTTTAAGTAGAAAACGAAAATAATTTTCTTGGAATTATACATTTTTTTATGAAATTTCCTCAAAAATCGGATTATTCATTTGAAAAAAAATTTAATTCTTTCGACACGTTTTTAAATAAATATATACTTTTTATATATATAATAAATAATATATACATATATATTTATTTAATACATTTAAAAAATTATATTTTTAAATAAATATAATATAAATATATAATTTTTTATTTTTGTTTAATGTATTCAAAAAATTGTTTATTTAATAAGTTTTTAAATATATTTATTTAATAATTGTTTAATTTTTATTTAAATATATTTAAATATTATTAATATTATAATTTTTTAATGGTTATTTAAATATATAAGAAAAATAATAAATAGAGATGAAAAAAAATATTAAATAAAAAAACCAAAAACAATATTTATAAAAAAAAACATTTTTTTTAAACATATTGAAGTAAATATATTGAACTTTTATTTAGAAATGCAGCATAAATAAAATTTAAATATTTTTTTTTTAATTTTTATTTAAATATGCTTAAAAAAATATTAAAATATTATTTTCATGTCATTCGCATTTTTAGTAACTTTTTTTCAACTATTTCAATGTTAATTTTCAAATATTTGTCTAGCTATTTTTTAAATTATAAGGCAATCTAAAAAAGAGTATTACATATATATATGTGAACAAAAAAGCGTTTAATTTTAATTTTCAAGTAAATTGCATAAATAATTAATTTTAACTATATTTTTTATTTTTCAATATCAACTCTACGCATTTGGCATTATTTTTTACATTTCTTCACATTGGTTCTTAAATTACTTTTAGTTTTTTGGTTTTTTTGTTAATGAGTGGTGTATTTCAATGAAAGCTAATTTTAGTGGTCGTCACTGTAAATAACGGACATCTATGTAAATAATTGTTGGCTAAATGCTGAAATTTCTACATACAAACTGTATATACATTTACTTTTTTTATCATAATATTCAAAAACAGTTTCAATTATATTTTTATATTTATCTTTGGCTTTTTTATTTACACTTGTCGAATTTTCATTTTTTACAATATTTTTCTGATTTTTGTAGCTTATTCATACATATCGAATATAATCTTGAGCTTTAATTTGTTTTTATATTTTTACACCTTAATTGAAAATAAATATTTTCTAATATACATTTCCCTTAATTTCATCGCCTTTTTTCATTTCCAATTCCTTCGCCTGTAATCTTATTTTCAACCTCTGATCTGAATTATTTTTGCATAGTATTTCGCTTGCCATCAAAATTCTCCCTATTTCAGTTCTAGTGCTTGAGTTCTTCTGCTCTCAATTCTACTTAACATGATTTTATTCATTTGGTTTGCTTAAAAGTATTTGTATATCTACTTAATATGCCTTAAAATGTAATCAGTTGCAGTGACTTTTTTCATTACATTTATCCAATTTTATTTATTTTATATTGTATATCCTCTATAATTTTTATGTGGCAGCCAAGTCGTTCGTTTCGACACTCTGACACACCTTTTCTAAAATTTCAGTATTTTTTTCCACTTTCTGTTCCATATTTTTACTCAATGTAGTAACTGAAACTACGCTTGCGTTTGCTCCCTATAGTTTTCAACTTTAGTTACCCGGATTTTATCCAACGATCAATTGAATATTCAAGAGCCGAAATCCATCTGCAAAAAATTTGAATGAAAAAGTTGAGAAACAAACTTATAAACATATATGTACAGTATTTTCAATAAGACTTTCTATAAACAGTCGAATGCCCATGGCAAATCTAAGTCTCCGCAAAATCAGACTTACACGAAGTTAGAAGATCAAGGCCAACTGATATTGTAGCTGATTTAGGAATAAAAACTGTTAAGAAAATGGTTGGAAATAAGTAAAGTATTGCATTGGCGTTGAAAGCCTATGGAAGATATTCTACTTAAATTGGTGGACCTGGGTAAGAGATGATCTAGCTTCTGTTGCCTGAGAGACCTGGCAGTATCCTAATTTTTTCAGTCACTTAAATCTAGTTCTAAACTGAAATTTATCAGTTTCCGAGGATTTATGTTAGAACTGAAATTCATACTATCAAACTTATCGCTCTATCAGATATTATTTTCACTTCAGATCCTCACCTAATGTCTAGGGTTTTCAGTGCTGAGTTTTTTCTCATGTTGCCTTAATTTTAGTTACTAGCTTTAGTTTAGTTTACTTAATAGCTATACAAAATTCAAGTTCCAACATATTTCCGAAGACAGTAAAAACTGTTAGGATGTGTCTTGAAAGCACATAAGAAAAGAGTCATATGGAAGTTTCTTACGACATTTTTATTATATCAATCCCAACTTGCATATACTTCCTTATATCGGCTTATCTAAACTTTCTTTGGAGTTTCAAATATCTTTCTAGATTCTAAAACTAACTTGGCTATCTATTTTTTTATTTTTTGTTCTTCTTTATAATATTACAATAAATTTTTTGCAATTTTCTTTCAACGCCTCCACACAAACTCACCTCTTTTTATCCATTTCCGATTCGGTGCAGAAGTAATAATGTCGCAGTTTGGTCTCTGGTGGTATAATCTCGAAGGAATTCTTCTTGCCTGAGGCATTGGTCGACATCGATGATACCTTATAGCCATGCAGACAAGCCATACCTAGAAAAACGAATAATAAACGATGATGAGATTGCAACCGATAGAGAAAAGCGAGCAAAAACATAAGGGACTTGTTGTATAAACAAACAAACATTTAAAGCGCAACCAAACACAAAAAGCAAAAACAAAGCATACAACAAAATTACATGAACCTAAAACTGGAAGAATACTTGCAGACAGAGAGTGTAAATATTTTACATTAATGCCGTTCGAAACACTCACCAAACGCCGTCTTACTATTAGCATCCTGATAGAAATACAAACAAGCATCCTTTAGCACACAGTAGCGCTTCGACCAGCCACACCAGCGGGAGCCCAATTTCAACAGGTAACCGAAACAGTCCGGGCGTGTAATGCTGCACGGCGGTTGGTAGAGATTGTGTGCGCTGCAGGCAGCCGAAGAAAGTGCCATGAAGAAAAAGTGGAGAAATTAATAATTTAACAACGAAAAAAAAAACAAAAACGAGATTAGAATTTCTCGGTAATTTCGAATTAAAGTTGGCTAAAAAATTGTTAACGCACCTATTATCCAGCCAGGGTGTGCCCTGTGTGGCCGCTTGCTTGAGCAACTTAATCCAACGGTTGGACAGCTCCTCCGTATCTGCGGCCACATACAATGGTATGCCTTCGCCGGAGTCAATTTTGAAGGCGTACGGCTTACCGACCTCAGGCGGGCAGTGATCAATTGTATGCTTGGCCATGATCATAGCGCCAACGGGTTGATTGTCCTACAATGCCAAATAAAAGTTTAAAACATATTCAAATTCAATAAAAATGATTATTTTTTTAACTCACATCTTCGGTTTTATAGTAGTACAGACAGTTGTCCGGTCGCAGCGAGAACCAGCGGCGCACCCATTTTTTCGTATTTGGTGCGCCCTTCGCTTGGCCGCTCTGTCGCCATAAATAGCCGCTAAAAATCGGTTGACTGGGCGGCTCTTGTTGCTCGTGCATGAGCACACCGATCGTGCGCGCCACCTCCAGTTCGAGTATCTCACAGCCATCGTGTGCGATCTTCACCACTTCGGTATGATGTTTATCCAAGACCTCAACGCCATTCACCGATATGATTATATCGCCGACTTCGAGTCCAGAACTCTCAGCCGGTGTTTCGGGTTCAATAGCGGCGACCACAACCGGTTTGGAGCCATGTATGCGAAAACCAAATTCACCAGACTCACTTTTAACCACAATGGTTTTGTCAACGCCTTAAGGAGAGCAGGAGAAATAAGAAGAGTAGTATAGTAGCATATTTGTATACTTTTTATAATGGATTACTGAAAAATTATTGTGGTTTTTTTTTATAAATAAAGGTATTTCAATAAATATTTGACCCATCTATACCCCTTGCTCCCGCTGTAATCTTTGAAATCACATGCGATTCGCGCGCCCATACCAAGAGCATTAATTTCAGCAGATCCTCCAGTTTGCGTCGCAATGAATCCGACGACGAATTTGAGGTTATTAATTCTGTGAAGTAAATTTTGCGCTTTACAAGAGTTGAAAATAAATTGATAACTCAAGCAGCATACCAATCATCGTGCTGGGAGTTTTGTCTGGATTATTTGTTAATCTTTTGCGATTTATCGCGTTTTTAACTTTTTATTTAAATTTGGTATTTGGCGTTATTATTTTTATATTAATAATATTTATTTTTATGTTCTTTTAAATATGTGATTTTTAGTTTTCAGAGTCTATTGTGTTTCTTGTGTTCTAGTTTTCTATTTGTTTATCGAATGATTAATATATTCGTATCGGATAGGTTATATTAATATCCATATATAATATGTTCAAATATTTCTTTTCAACTATTCTTCAAGTCTTTTACTTCATTATTTTTTATACTTTTATTCAAGTGCTGTTTTTAAGTCCTTTGTTTTTTGTTTGAATAAATTATCTTGTTTAATTTCCTCGCAACAGAGAATTCTGCCGCAAAGCACAATTATATTGTTCTATGTACTACTCGTCATGAGTATATGGTTCTATAAGTAACAAAATCTGAATAATGCGAAAAAATCGTTTCTTTGGTATTCTGATCCGTAAGTTATCGGACCGTTGCCAAAGCCTCATAGCATTCTTGAAAATACGTAATGGAAAATACTCTAATGGTTGAAGGCTTACACCACTGCAGAACGTCGAAAAATCACTTAATTTCCGGGAAAACAAGGAATACAATGAGAAATGTGAATATATACCTTATACCTTTGTAATTAAATGTTTACATTTTCTCTAGAGAAAACGAAGTAACGACTGTGCAGATGGTTATTGTAGAGATCCGCAACCAAAAATATATATTTTTTTCTGTTTGAAATATACAAATTTTTATGACGCCTCAATTCATAATAGCATCAGGTTAGAATGTTACGTTAAATATAGTGATTCGGTAGACTAGATTACTGATCCTATAATTTCTATATTTTCCCTACGCTTTTTATACTGCCTATGAACATCTGCTCTGAGACCTATATCAGTATCTTTGCAATTGAGTAAGAATGTTTCGCTCAGCTCAACATGAAGCTCGTTCAAAAAATGTTCCTTAAACTATAGTCGGCGTAAGTGTAAAAACTCTATTTCGGATATTAAACGAGATATATTAATGAAACTCGATAGACTTCTTATCTATAGAATATTTTACATTCGCATGTCTACAATTTTACTAGTTGCAAGAGTGTCTAATACTCAGACGCGCGCGAACTAATGACGTCCTTATTTGTTTGCGCTGGAATTAAAGGTCAAGAGCGCAAAATTATAACAAAATTTTTTTTTAAATATTATTGATAAAAGGTGCTCGCATCTTAGTATGTTGACATTTTTCTATATTTTTAATTTCATTATATCTTTTGTTACTATTTTAAAAGCACGTTATTCATTTTCCACACATATACATACATATATTTGTGATATTTTTTAAACAACTTTTAAGCACTTTAATATATTCAATTAATTTCGCAAACAATTTCACCGCAATACAACGCACAATTCTCAATTTTGCCCTTACTCGGCGCTTTGTCAATGAACCACTGACCGTTCGAACGCCCGATATCTATGCGTAATTCACTCGTGTCGGTGCCTTGGCTCGCGCGCTAATTAATCTTATCGACTATTTTTAAAGCGCACAATCAAAGTGTATAGGGCTCTAAAACACAATGCCGACATTAGAAGCAACAATAACAATTACATGTGTTTATAGCGAAATACAACTCAATCACTTTACTTTTGGCAAAAAAAAATGGCTTTCCACGTATTGCACGCCACGCACGTTCACGCAAAACAAGTTGCTAGACGCTACTACACGGCTTTTACGCTCGAACATAGCTGATTGCGGAAATTTCTAAATTCACGTCACGCATTTTCTTTCTATAAAAGTTGTTTATGTACATGTTCGAAAATTGTACTGTGTTCGTTTGCGCTCACGATTGCTCAGTGTTTCGTCTGTACGCCGTTCCAAAATTAGATATTCGAAGAAGATAGCAACAATGTTGCGAAATTTTTTATGGCACGTGCTCTCATCCATTTCAGAATCGGCGAGAGATAATAATAAGTCGGTGCTACAATTGATTATTCAATTTATAGCTGTGGCATATAAATCTAAAAAATTACTTATTTCGAAACTTAGTTTGTATAAACATTCTTATAATTTTATTTGAAATACGTTTTGAAATTGTTTGAGAGCGGAAGACAAAAGCTAATTTAGTATTAATTGATTTATTCGAATTTTGTATTTGATATCTACAATAACCAACTCGGAAATATATATGTTTTTGGAAATTTTGGAAAACTCGATGCACAAAATTTATCAAAATTCAAGAGAAAATAATTTTTTGCCGGAAAAATATTGCCTACATTTCGGAGCAATGCTTAAAATGTAAAAAGTGTAAGAGACCATATTGCAGTGCTATATTTTCAAAATATGTTAATGAAGACTGATGGAGCGGTAGCAATCAAATAATATGAGAGCGGTGCTAAAAATACACCGACTGCTCTATTATCAGAAAACCTATAAAATATATAATTTATAGGTATATCTGAATTCCCTACTTTAAAAATATATTAAATAAAAATACGTTGCTTACAATATTGAAGCATACTCTCAGAAAGTATGTAAATTTCTGAGTGTATTCTTTAATTAAAAGGTTGAAAATAGAAGAGTCGATGTTCAAACCTACCTACCTCAAGAACGCGATAGCTAACTCTCTTTTATTACTCTCATATACTAGTTATACCTCTCATATTTGAATATATGCCATCATTATAACTCAAATATGAAAAAAGCGCAAGTAATTGAAGTTGTAGTAATTTTTTTTTTTGAAACACTTGATTCCAAGACAAAGCTTTTGAACAGTCTAGGGTAGAGTATAGAATGCGGACACATTTCAAAGTTTTCTATGGCTTTATCTTGTCAGTTGAATTTCTTCTAAGATCGATGGCATATATGTAAGCTCTTTTTAAATAAATATTGTTCATTTAATCATACTTTGCTTATCCCTTAAACGAGAATTCTCATATTAACCTCCAATCTTTTATTCTCTTTTTCAGAATCCAATAACGCTGGTGAGTTTTTTTTTATTATTATAACTTTGCTACTTCACATTAAAACATTATAGTATTTTCTGGATCGATACATTTTTAAGTTAAAATTTAACTTAAAATTTTTTTATAGCTTTTATCGCCGATGTTTTACGAAGCTCTTAAAGTTTGTCGTTTGTAAAGCATGTCATCAACATTTTGTAAGGAACATGTACTGCTCACGATAATTCCAACAGATTATATTCCTCAATGCGGTTTCTCATATCTAAGTACGTCAAACAATCCCCAGATTAAATTTTTTTTATCACGGCAAAACTTGTAGGTATGTCATGCTTAGAAATCAGAGATCAATTATGTTCAAATTTTTCGAACGAGTCACAATATAGACACGAATAGGAATTAAACAACGTTAGTTGACTTTACTAAACAAGCTTGATTCATAGAGATATAACGGACGAAATTCGTTCCTTTCTATCACTACCAGTCTACAAACAACATTCGGTAGTCCAGTAATTTTCTGGTGCCGTGGTTTCAAGCCCTATTAAATTCCTTTCTTTTCTATGGGTGAAAAACCTCGTAATATTATGAACTAACATAATTTGACAAGTCAGTTGAGAATTCTTGGCATATTTTATACGCTTGGTGCAAAATTGAAGAAGGCACAGCACTAGCCTACATTAAGTTTTAAACGCAGCCCAAAAGAAATGCTGATTACCATAAGATAAACATTTAGACTTACGAAAATTGTTGTTCCGTTGGCGATGATACATTTCCAAGGTGCAACGTCGCTGCACCAAACGATGTAGTATGACTTGATACTTTGTGTGAAAACTGCGCTCCGACTCGGTTGACGGACGGCGATCACGATGACGATCTGCGTTAGAACAACGAAATTATAATGAAAATCATATAACAAAAGCGCAACAGACTCAAAAAGCATATACCGAAACTTTGATGATTTAGCTGAGTCCAAACATCAGCGTCGGTGAGACGTGAATAACGCGCCGGGTCGTAATGACCACGATAAATAATCTGTTGACTCTGTTCAATCGCTGCATCCGGCAGTACACACGGACTCGAACCGGCTGGACGTAAGCTCTGTGGACTACGTGAGTGTACGCTCTCACGACTGCGTTCTTCGCTCTACAAAAAATAAAAGAGTTTTATTACTGTTTTAACTTTGCAAAGACTTTGTAATAGCCACCTTTGCTCGTATATTCTCCTGACGTGTCTTATAATGTCGACCACGTTCGCCTGCATGATAACGCTCTTCAGAGCGAAAACGTTTATCCATCTTTTTATACAGACGTTGCGTTGTTTTTGCAGTTACCGGTGAGTCTGCGAAGTCTGACGGCGGTTTGACAATATCCTGTTCATGCTCATTTCCCATATAAGGCAGTGATTCGACAGAGTCTCCAGCCAATGCGCTTATATTTGTAGTCTGACCCTCTGTACCCTTGCCGCAGTGCAGGCAATGACTGTGTGGTTCCTGCACGGGACCATCTGCTTCACTGTAAAACACCGAATCGGAACCGGGCGAGACGGAACGGAGAGACTCTATAGATTTTGCTTTTAGCTGACACACCTCTGATGAAGATTTTGTGGTTTTGGCGGCCACAGCTACCGTGGCTGTATGCGGCGTTGTGATCTTACTCGTCTTGCACTCCGTTACATGTATATCCTCGCGATCTTCCTCCTTTTTAACGCCAACACTGTAGTCCAATAGCTTCTCTGCGCTACCTGCTGTCGGCGGCATGCCATACAAATTCACCAAATTCTTTTGTCGTTTCGGTGTACTATCATCACGTGAACTCCGTCTAAATTGACGACGTATCTTTGGACGGAAACGTTTAATGCGATTCGGACTTGTAGTTTCAATGGCGTGCGCACTAGTGGTGGACTGTTTCTCCGTTATTTTTTCTTTCGTGGCTGCAGCCAATGCCGCAGTTATAGGCGTGGCGTGTGCGCCAGCCAATGCAGATGCTGGCTTCTTAATCGGACTAGTTAGCGCGCGTAAATTCTCCTTTTCGATGTCTAGTTTCATTGTAGTCTTACGACGTTTACGTTCCTCATCGAGACGATGACGACGTGACTTGATCACATGATCATCATCATGTGGACTCTCATAGTAGCCGGAAGATGAGTAGCGTACCTCACTACGTTCATCATCCGATATGGATTTGGGTTTGATGCGTGGCTTTTCACGTACAGCGGACGGTTCGACACTGGCGGTTGACGCACCAACACTTTTGACGTGTACAGTTTTGGTAGCCGTCGCCGCTGCCTTTTCAGCTGGCTCCACCTGCTTCTCCGCATCCTTAGCAGATGGCGATGGTGTTGCCAGCCCAGCGACATTATAACTACCCGACGATGTGCTGCTAATCGAGTGCGAAGGTGAACGTTTCGCCTGCTCTGCTGTAGGCACAGGCGACTTGAGCTGCAGTTCGCGCTCGAGCTTATGCTGTTTAGTGGGTTTTTCATCATGCTGCAGTATATCCTCGGTTAGAATCTCGCCGCGCGTTGAGTAGAGTGAAGAGGCACTCTCAAAGGATGAACCTTGCGTACGGTCAATTTGTGAACTCTGTGTCGACACTAATCGGGTATGAAAAAAGAGACAAAAGAGAGGAAGCATACGCTTAGTTAACGTTTATATACAATGGCTCAGGGTTGCTACACTCTAAGCGAGCATTGAACTAGGCTAAGAAGCATTACAGACACATATCTCGGTTTTTTTTTTTGTTTTTTGGTTTTGCGGTTTAATTTACAGAAGCGTTCATCAAGCAACAACATACCAACCAACAACCAAATACCATACGAAAGTACTTAAATGCATATACACGCAATCAGCTAAGGACGTTTACAACAACACAAACATGTAATGTGACAGACTGTATGAGTGTATGAGAGTGTGTGTGTGAAGAGAGCGGTTAGGAGAGCACAGCTAAAAGGCCTAATCGCTTGCGTGCGCGAGTGTGTGCGTGTATGTGTAGACTGTTAAGTGCATACAAATAAGTCAGAGGATTATGTGCGGATTGGTTATATGTGTAATCTTGCGATGATGGATTGACAGTCGCTGAAATATGGATGAATAAGTCGCTAGTTTACGGATGATGGTGTTGGTGATGATGATGGTGATGATAATGAAGGATGGTAGTGACTCAGTAGGAAACCAGTTATGTGGTTGCTCGTGTCTTTCGTGTGTGCGTGTCTGTGTTTTTGAAGCAGCAAGGCACACTAATCTATTGATTGACTGTTCAATTGACACTTGTCGCTTTCAAACCTGGTACTTGTGTCGTTGATGATGAGCTTGTTGTTGTTGGTGGTGTCTTAATACCTGGCGTACGCTTCGACGTGTCGGTACAAGTGGCATATTCATCGGTATTCGTGCTGCACTCTGACACATCTGTGGTGTTATTGAACTTGTTGCTGCTGTTGTTGTTCAAAGTAGCTGTGACGGTCATGATGGCGTCGGTGGCAGCACGTGTTTGCTGTACGTCCGATGTACGTCGTCCATCGCGTGTTTGTGTGGGTAGCTCTTGTACGACGCGTTTACTTGTACCCGGTGATATTTTGGGTGAGATCTCTTTGGCCAACGGTAGACTGGGTGTGACTGCAATTGAGGGTGTGGTGATTTTCTGTGGCACCGTTAACGTGGTCGATTTGGGCTCGCGACTCGCTTGCGGTTGTTGTGTGATGAGCGCGCCAGATTTTGCGCTCTTAGCGCTAGTTGGTAGTGTGTTTACCGCAATGCCATAGGTGGGACTCTAAAAGAAATGTTAAATCAAAAGTGTTATATGTACTGTTTACAGCTCGGGCGCTCAACTTACCAAATCCACTTGTGTGTCCTCCAAATCCAATACGTCCGTATCCACGGAGCTACGTTGCTGGTGTTGCAGCAGCAGGTTTTTTCGTCGCGTCGTTGGTGTCAGCAGCATATTCGCATTCGTGTATGCGCCTTCGGTACCCTCCTTCGGCGGTTCGGCAGTTAGTACTGTAACCTGCGATTCATTCCAAATGCCATCTGAGTGATCGCGTGTCACGTCGTTGGCCAGCGAATCCGAGGATGGGTAGGTAGATGCATTTGCGAATAGCAATTCCTCGCGGCAAGGACTTGGTGGCGCCGAGATGCCATTACCTTTATCGGGCGAGACATTTTGTTCATCCAAGCTCACGGAACGTTTGCGCATGCTGGCGCGTCGTTCAGCCGTCATAATAGGCACACTTGCGGGCACATTCTCGTATAGCGGGTCATGTTGATCGCTTTCTTCTTGCTTAGCTTTTTCGTCTTCTATATCTGTAGCCTGTTCCTGTTCAGCCTCCTCCTCGTAGTCATCCTCACTGATGGAGGAATGCGGTTCGGCTGCTTGTAGTGCGCGACAGTTTTCACATTCTTCAATCGCTTTCTGTTCTTTGCTCTCCTCAAGCTGAGCTACTGGTGGCGGTAGTGACTTATAGGTCGATCGGTATTTAGCTTGTGGAATTTGTGCAATCGTTTTCATCATAACATTTGGTTTGAAGTCGATAAAGATCTCTTTCTCATCACCGGAAATTTCTTCATTGCCACCTATCACCGGCTTCGGTTTTATCTTTGAGCGGAAGGATGTACGTGGACCGAAACCATCAATCAGTTTTTCGGTTTTTACATAAATAGGCATCGACTGTCGTCGTAAGTCATCGCGTCTGAACGGTGTAGGCGTAATATCAGCGTCTAGTGGTGGCAGTACGGCTACCATGGACTTACGTCGACTTGTTTCTACAACTTCGGGTTCGTGTATGGGCTCCGCTGTCAACGTGGAAGTAGATGTAAGCGGCTCGTCGGCATCTTTACAGTACTCGCTAGGTGGTGGCAACAAGTGCGGCTTAGAGAAGTCTAGCAAACCGCCATTACCACCATTAACACCACCATTCGCCTCACCCATCAATTCCGTACACTCGGTTATGTGTTTACATATCTCATGTGCATGCAGTGGTTCACGACGTGGCAGACTGTTCGAACTGAAGCTGCTTTCACGATGGAATGTGCAGGCGCGGCGTGGCAAACTGTTGCTCTCGTAATCGAAAGCGAGCGCGTCCTTAGGAAAATAGGGCATACTCTCCTCCGAGGGCAGTTGTGACGAGCGATGACTGTAGTAGGAGATTGTGTCAAGCGGTGGCGGTGGTTCGTAATAGTTAATATTGTTTGGATCGCCGAGCTCCAGCGGTGACTTTGGCGGTTCTTCCGACTGCGTGCGATACACAGCGTTATGATCGATAAAGTTTCTAAAAATAAGAAGTTAAAATAATTGAATTTAGAAACTCGATAAAAATTAATATGAAAGCGAATTCATAAAAATTCTAGAATATATGTGCTATTATTGGACTTACCTGATTTGCCTGTCATCTAAGCCAGGTAACACTTTACCATTCGGCATTTCCGACAAACTTTTAGCGAGTTTTTTGCCATTCAACAGTCCGTTCGTCTGTGCACCTTGTGAGACCACCTTCACCTTAAGTATAAAGGAAGCAAAATTAAACTTTGCCTCACTCGGCACTTCAGCGAATTACTCACCTTATGCATGGTACGTGGACTCAGCGCCAATACCTGCGCGAAACCATCTTTGCGCACCTCAGTTTGCGTGGCTTGCGTCTTCATAGCATTACGGAACTTCTTTTCCACCACCAACACTTCGGGACTGGGCGGCGCCAGCACCTGCGTAGAACAAGTCAAGACACCCATACCAGTCGGCATCATAACACCATGCGCCGCCGCTCCAGCACCACCGACACCAAGTGGTATATCATCCATATGTGTGAGAGGCCTGCCGGTTAACAAGGAAATCGGTTGTTCAGTTTGGATCTGAGCACCCAACTCGGCGGCACTAGCAAAACCGGTCGGTACAAACTGATGTATGTGGATGGGTGGCCCGTGATGATGTTGATGTGAATGGCCATGTCCATGCGAGGGATGAATATGTGGCGCATGCTGATGTATGACGGCTTGTTGTGCATGTGGATGCATGGCGAGTGCGGGTGGCAAGGTCGTTATATAATTGGTCGGCGGTTGTGGATGCTGTTGCGGCTGTTGCTGCTGATGTGTCATCTGCTGTTGCTGTTGTGAATGCAAAACCGTTGGCTGTTGCACCATATGCCCGGGCAGTTGCGTGGACTCGTAGATGGAGCCGGTGGCAATAATCGGTTTCTTGCCACCAATAAGACGTTCCTGACTGCGTGCGGTCTTCATGCGACCGGAGGAGCGGAAACCCAAATTGACATCGTCGAAGGAGGTGAGTGTATGCGAGCGAGCGAAACTGACATGCTTAGTTCTGTAAGTGAGAATGCACAAGTAGCGCAAAAGCGTATGAAAGAGTATGAATGAAGTGTGTTTTGGTGCGTGTGAGAAGAGAGAGAAAGAGAGAGAGAGAGAGAGACAGAGAAAGTTACGGAAAGTAGTTGTGAAAACTGATTTTTTGGCGTGTGGATGCAATAGTTAACGAGCTCTTTGTGTGCTAAGTGTTCATATTTAGTATGCACGATTGAGATTATACAGTGTTTACGCCAATAACGGTATCGCTAATTGTTCGCTTCATTGACTTTGATAAGCTCAGCTGTTTGAATGACGTCACAATGGCAGTTGCTTGCAAAGCACGGTCAAACTTTTGTTGGCAAACAGTCTCGCTCTTACTAATTTTTCTCGCAAAGCAATGCTTTTGTGACGTCACGAAAAATTTTGATGAGAACTTTTGCTTTTGTCTGTTCAATCGTGTAATCTGCATTTCCGCGTAACTGTTTTGAATCGCTTAACTTTACCTCGGTGTTGTGCCGCCCATTTGTAGTTGCTGGCCGGCTGGCAGTCCGACATGGGTGGGATAGTGATACGAACTGCAATAAAATGGATCGAGCATTACTCACACACACAGACGCATACACACACGCATGTGTTTCTTTATTTTGTTTTTTTTTTTTTGTTTTCAGTTTTAATTATCATATTTTTTCGGCTCTAAACAAGTTTAATCCGTTCGGCGTTTATTCGTCATGCTTCGGTTTATTTTTATATTCGTATTTCTTTTTTTTTTTTTGTTTGTTTTATTAATTTCTACATACCAAACATTTTCGAGTGGATGTGTGAAGTTTTGAAAATGATTCTGTGCGCAAAGTGCAAAACAGTTGGTCATATAAATATTCCGATATTGGTAATCAGTCGGTGTTAGCCAACAAGTCAGGCTTGCGCTGAAGTATTTTTGCAAGTGTTGTGTTTTTTTATATATTAATTTTTTTACGAAAAAAACGATAATAATAAATAGAGGAATAGAGACAAGTATTTATTTTTTTTAGCCTTTCATTTGCCAAGTACTTATAATGGTAAAGTCGAGCTTTAAGCACGAGCTTTTTTTGAAGGCACAAAATCTATGGGTGATTGGATGGTTTAATCAGAAATATGTTTATTATAATTTTTTTGCATGTTTGTGCTCTTCGAATTGGTGCGCATGCGCAATGTAGAAAAGTTGTTAAGGAAATTATTGAGCGCTTTAATGAGAGCTTTTTGACTGACTGCTTTTGTACGAAAAGTTTGTAAAAAGTTGTTGAAATATGCATGCAGCATTCAAGCAGGTCGTAAATATATAACAGACTATAGATACAGTGTTGATTGACAAAATTGTACAAGGTTAAGGAGAAAGAACGCGATAGTAATAAAAGCTTTTGTAGATATATAAAAGAGAAAGAGACAGTGAGACTTAAAAAATCGTTTCGATATGAGTATGCATGACCTCGCTGATGTCGTTTATGCGCATGAGATGCGTCAAGATGTAATAAGGGTTCCAAAAATACACAATATAATACTTTTAAGCAGTAAATGTAAAGAAATAAGCTTGCAAATAAAGAAGTTATAAGAAGAATGTGAAATAATAATATTTTAAACAAATTTAAAAAGTAAAGTTTTTATTTAAACTATTTGGCAGACTTATGAAATATACTTTATAGCTGTTTTGACACTAGATACACTCTAACCGTACTGTATGCGAGCTTTTTGGGAGCTTTTCAGCATAAAAGTTATAATACTTAAGAGCTTTTGAATATGTGGAAGTTGTACATTAACTAACTTATGACTTATAGAGACACTAGAATAACGTTTTAGTAAAATTCATTGTGAAATATTTGTTTTCTATATAAATATTATTTTGTCCAGTTGCGCCATTTAAGCACTATCGGTATTGGTTCTAAAGTTGTAAAGCTTTGTCTGAGGATGAGTTTGCGACAAAGAAACATTCTCTTATTTCAGCACCAGTTCTCTTACTTTCAAATTAGTTACAGATAGGCTTCAATCAAAATCCAAATACTCCCAAATCGGTCGAATGATAAAAATTAATCGCTGAGAGAAAAGTGTTACTCTCTTACAATCCCCACGAACGATATTATTATTCTTTCAGACTAGAACGTATGTGCTTGCAAGGAAAATTAAAAAAAAAAAAAACAATTTTCTTCAACCAACAAAGCTATTAAGATTGTAAAGCTTAAAATTTAAAAATCAAAGTCAAAAGCTTTTAAAAAAGCTGCATGAAACTCTAATTGAATTTTTTGTTGCTTTGGAATTACCTCAAATATATTAATAACTGTCTTCTAACCACTTAAACGTAGCCACAAAATTTGCTAATCATCCTCCATCAAAATCTTAAGATCAACTGTTCAATAAATATAGGGTTTGTGTCGCGGCTGGTAAGAAGCTTTCATATTTTGAAGGTTGAAGTCCTATTGGTACTGGGAGAATGTTGTGTTTAAAAATAACCCTTTCGACTTGAGTAATCGATGAGTAAATCATTACTTGTTATGCAACGAAAGATACTACATTTTTTGAAGGAAAAATCTTGATTCAGTCTGCTTAGATATTATATATTGCAGACTCTGACGCATTTCTATTCTAATTTTTAATACTGACGGGTTTGAAAAAAATTTTATTATGCTAGGAGCACTTTTAGATCGTTATTTTTTTCAGCTCCAACTATATACTACCTACAAATATCATGAAGATATCTATTATGTCGTAAGTCAATACTCAAACTTCTAAGAAATTAAGTAACTTGAGGACCAATTCCGGTTACTAGAATGCTGATTTTCAAAAATTAAAGAACAAAATAGTCCAATAAACAAAATTTATAACAGCAAAAGCAACAAAAACTTCGGCTAGCTACTGAAAACTTCGCAAAACAGGTTGAAGCTCATGCCCCATGTTTATGACCGGCCACAATGTTTTAAAGTTTAGACTTAAGCAAAAGCTTGCAACAAATCTAACGATAGATACCTTGGATCGTTAGTAAAGTTGACATTCTCGTTTCCAATACCGCTCGGAGCGCCCATCCAGGAGTAGCGTTGATGCTGAGGCATACCCATGCCCCCCGCAGACCCGCTAGGGCCGACACCAACGCCGATAGAGCTAGTGCCAGCGCCACCACCGGTATCTTGCGTTTTCGCAGTGCTCAATATTGAAGCTGGTTGACGTCGAAAATAGGAACTATCCATATCGGAATCGGGCGATTTGTCGTCGTGATTTTGAAAAGGTTGTTGATAGCTATAGGTAGGGGAAAATCTATCTCAAAAATATTTTTATTTCTCATTACCGCTAATCAAACTTACCGCGGATACTTGTAGAAGGGCGCGTAAGCTGCTAAATTCTCATCGGAGGGCACTCGTCGACCCACACAGCCGCCCAGAAACGATTGCTGCACACCGCTACGACGCGAGAGACAGCCGAAGAAGCGATCGCGACGCGGCCGCTCGATGCTATGCAGCTGACGATCAGTTAGGCAGTACTGTACTTAAGGACAAAAAGACAACAATAAAAAATAAAAGTAACCAAATGCAAGTGGCAGCCGAAAGAGAAGTGGAAGAAGAAGTAGAACACGAAGAGGAAATGACAGCAGTACAAGAAAGTTAGAAAAAAAAAAACAGTAAAAGCAAAAATAATAAAAGTGAAATAAAAACAAAAGCATTTAACACGCTTGCCGCAGAGCATTCACCTGTTCGCGTATGTCGCCTTTGGAGTAAACGGATGGGCGCGGATACAGTTCTGTAGAGGAGGTGTGTCGCAAACGGCGTCGGCTCATATTCTCATCTTCGGAGTCGTAACTGCGATCGTAATGGCTAGAAGCCGCTGACGACTGCAACGAGAAAAAGCGAAAAGTGTGCAACATAATTAATGGCTTTCATGTGGCAGCAACGAAACGGTGTGGTGCCTACTTACCTTAGACGCCACCTCAATGGTGCCTAACGAAACTGCATGATGTAAACCTGCAAGTGGGCACAGAGTTAGACGGTAGGCAATTCGTGAGAAAAGTGTACATATGTGTGTATGTGTGGTGGCAAATGCTGAAAATAATTAGCAAGACGAAATTAGTTGCAACTAAAGTGTGGAACCACGTTCGCTGCACAGCGGCACTATAAGACAATGAGTGCAACGAACTTGTTGACCGGCGCGCAATGCGCAGGCGCACACCGCATTCGTAACTGGGAGAAAATGTGCTGACCGTTTGAATTTCAATTATTACAGATTAAATGGTTGTTAATGAAAAATATTACTGCAACTAATTGTGGCAAATGGCAAAGGGTGCGGTTAAGTGAGCAGCTTTTACTAAATGTTGGCAGAGATCGCAGATAAAATAAATTGAACGTTTTGGTCTGTGGAAACTTTATTAACTCAAGAAAGTTTTCATTTTATTAAGAACAGCTCCATATTTCGTCGTTACATACATATACGACATATAACGACGATGTTATTGGCGATTAAGTCACCTTTTCACTATCGGAGTTGTACATAACCTTGAATAGCATATGTGGAATTCATTTAGCTAACATCCATTGCTGGAACAGTTTGTCGATTTGTTTGAATAAACGAAATTATTATTTCATAGGTCTTAAGTATTTTTTGTTTACTTTCAGTCACTCTTTCGACATGTAGCGGAAGATTTTCACATTAAAATAAAACAGGAAACAACACTAAGTTCGGCAACACTGAAATTTCCCTTCATAGGTGCAATTCTTATAGCATAACAACAAAACACATTAGCTTTGGTTGCACCGTAGCTATAATACCCTTCACAAATACAAGAGATTCCTTACGAGAACTTCATTTTGTTTGGTTAGTTTGTAAGACAGATATATGCTATAGTGAGTTGATCTGAACAATTTCTTCGGAGATTGCACCGTTGTCTTAGACAATAACTCATGTCAAATTTCGTGAAGGCATATCGTGAAATAAAAAAGTTTTCCATGCAAGCACTTTATTTCGTTTGTTCAGTTTGTATGGCACCTATATGCTATAGTGGTCCGATTTCGGCCATTCCGACAAATGAGAAACTTCTTGCTGAGAAAAAGACAGGTGCAAAATTTCAGATCGATATCTCAAAAACTAAGGGACTGGTTCGTATATATACTAAATCGACTTAGCTTGTTACGCTCATCATTTATATGTATATATTATAGGATCCCCGACGTTTCCTTTTGGATGTTACCAATTTCATAGCAAACTTAATATATGTACCCTATTCAGGTGTCATTATATTTGAGGTTATAAAGGCTGGTTTATGATCTCGTTGATTATCATAAGTTTTCGCTACCCGACAGCATGGTTTCAAATTCAAATCTCAAAGATTTTTTCCGCAAGTTCCAGTTCCGCCAGTTATGTTACATAGACATGCTTTCGAAAGATGTATTATTTCAACTACGTGCGATGCTTATCGCTATCAAGCCGCACAGGTCTATAAATCTTTAACGAAAACCTTCTTGGGGCCAATTACACTGGATATTGCCATGTCCACCCTAATAGACCATGTATTAAAATAATAGGGACGAGTTCATCTTAAATTGATATTCTGGTTCACCAAAAGAGAACTTCACTTTTAAATTATCATACAAAATTGTGTATCTGCTTACGAAAATGTTATACCTAAGATGTCTTGAACTGTCAACTGTGTTGAAGCACGACATTAGTCGCAAAAATCGCACGGTTGCTGTTCAAAGCTTTCTGCTGATCTAATATAGTATATTTAAGATTTTATATAGGAGTGAAATATGTATTCACATTGTTTCCTACAAGCAACTCGTAAGTTGTTTATATTTAATACTGTGAGCGCATTTGTGCCCTTGACGGGTTTCGAGCTTAATAATAAGAATTTTTTGTGAAGCGCACTTCTACGCTATTTTGTGTAGGTGTGCGACTTTGCTAGAAATTTGTCCAAATGTAAGCAACGTTTTAGGACTACTTTCCGACCTAAGGACTACTTCGGCGAAGAACATGTTTAATTTTGAACTCATTTATGCCATGTGTACGTTTTGAGTTTCAACGATCAAATTTGGAAGAAAAAAAAATCCGTCCAATTTCTTTAAGCGCTTTTACGATTGAGGTACGCTAACTACTGCTGGTGTGCGACCGCACTAACACGCAGCCTAAATGTCGGCAACATTTTTCTGAAATATTTTGCTACTGCTTGCCTTTAACGAAAAAAACAACAATTAAGTGAAAATGAGAATAGAAACAGTAAGATTAAGCAGTTTAAACAGAACATTACTTTTCTCTGCCACTTTCATTGCATAATTACTATTTATTTACTTTTGTTTTTCCTCCTTAATTGCTCTTTTGTCCCAGCGTAGTTCACCTTCCACTCAGCTGTAATTTTTCAAATTGCCCAACCCACATATTTAAGTTATAAATGCGAAAATGTACATTTAATTGTGTGTTGAAGGTCTTTCTCAACTTTAACTTTTACTTTCTGCCACTTGCTGTTCACCTTGCTACCTTACAATTACGTACTTAACTACTTAAAGCTTACATATTATATTACACGCGCACCTGCACTTTTATATTCACAGAACAAAGAAAAAAAACAAAACGAAAAAACACGAAACAGAAAAACTTAAATGAATACAATTGCTGATTTGGCAACACCTACGCAGAAGTGAAAAGAAAGGAAAAATAAAGTACACACACACACACAAACTGTGAAGAGCACTCGTGTAAAGAAAAAAGCCAGAACACCTTCGTAAGCGTATAAAGTGTAGTATAGCGACGGAGGATAATGGAAGTTAAGTAAGTAAAGTATATCTGTGTATGTATGTATGCGTGATTGTGTCATTGTGTTTGTTGATTTGTATTCACATAATGGCGTCCGAGTACAGGACATGTCTTGTGTTGAATAAAAATATAACGAAACGGACGGTGAACAGCGAAATTACATTTGTAGCAACAACAAGAACAACAAAAGCAATAACCAACAACTAACTGATCTACCAGCTAACTGTTCATGGCTTGCTGCTACTCACGTTGCCACCCAACGTAAAAATTCGGCCAAAGCAGCATTCTCCGCAAATGAAAAATTCATAAGTGTTGTAAATGAGGCTTTAGGCGACAGTCAAAGGCGGTGGCGTAGCAAAAGTTGAGGATTAAGTATGGTAGAGTATGAAAAAGTTGATGAGATGCTGCTGGTTGTACAAGCCAACTTCAGTGACAAGTGACAACGCAAGCGAAATATTTTCCTCTGCATATGCGGAGGGTACGTTCCACATTAGGGTGATCAGGTCGAGTTGCTTCAGTGTGTTACCTTAAGTTAAGTACTTTAGGTTGTTAGGAAATGAAAACTGTGTTTCTCTTAATCTAAAATCAAATGTTTTGAAAAATAGTTCTTAAAACAAACAGAATCTCTCGGAAGTTATAAGATTTTTCTCACTGCTTTCAGAGATCTCAGTTTGTTATACTTTTGCTCAGGGTAAAATAATATCGAACCGCCAGGAGTTGACAAATAAGTTGTCTTATTGTTAAAAAAGATTTATAATCAAAAATATTCTATTAGATTTTTGAAACCATAGATATCCTTGAGAGTTTTGAACATGAAGCGTATTAAGAGTTCGAATTTTCGAACACTTGTTTATTCAGGAAATTGTACCGATCTAGAATGAAAAGAACAAAAAAGATAACTGTGACGATTTCCAAGTTTTTGGTTTCGAAATCGGATCAGTTCGAACTGTTTTCATACTTTCCAATTAGGTTTCAGAAATTTGAGTTCACAGTTAAAAAAATTAATATTATAAAAAATTAATATTTCGAAAAAGATTTCGTACGTTTAAATTTGAAGCTTAGAATTCGTTCTATTGAAGAAATTTTTTATCTTCCGTCGGTGTAAGATATTCGAAAGGAGAAAATTGGCACAAAAATTTTGTAGTTGTTACTAAAATATTGTATTTTTGTTAAAAATAATTTTTTAGGTATTTATGACGGATTTCGAAAATTTTAGTTTGTACTTGTAAATTTCGTAGTTCGAAACATAAATTTGATTAAGCATAAGATCAGTTATATAATAAGTTCGAAAAGATTTAAATGTTATACAAAAGGGGACTTAAGTCCTTCGATTTCATTGACGTTCGAAAGTTTTTAAAAGTTTTGAGATTGCAAAGAAATATTTTATTAATTTCTTAACAGAAATCTATCCATATTTAAAAAATAATTTTCAAAGAAGTTTGTGCGCTTTTAGAAATCACTTCAGATCATACAAAAAGTTACTATGCCGCAATTCTGAAAATTAAAAACGACTAGAGCTGTTTCAAGCTTCCTTATGAAATAGAATTCTGAAGTTTTCTGGAAAACTACTTTGAATATTTTGAAAAAATCAAATTTTGGAATTATTAACTAATTAATTTTTGGAATTATAAATCCACTAAAAGTTCAAGGCTTTGAAGTAAACAATATTTTTGTAAATAAAAAAAATTAGTTTTGAAAAAATGGCTGAGCATAAGAAAGTTATTATTCATCGTAATTAATTTCGCAAAAGAAAACTATTCGAAATTGATTTTCTTGACTTCAAAAATTTGATTTTGAGTTTTTCGAAAACCCTCAATAATAAAAAAAGTTAAATTCTAAAGAAATTTGTCTCTAAAGCGTGTGTTTCGAAAAGAGACCCGGCAAAGCTCAAAAAATTATAATTTTCTTTGCTAATTTGACCAATTTTTCATACTCTTCACGTAAATAAAATAATTTTGAAATATTTCAAAATACGAGTTTTGGTAGTAAAAAAATTTTTTCTCAAATTAAAAAAAAAAAAATTTTGCTAAAATCGCATTGCTGCCCCAATAACTTACTCACCATTTTGACGCATCGCCACAGCCATTCTTTTCGGCGCCCAAACTGCTCACTGCTTCCACTAGCTGGCCCGTCGCTGCTAATCCTGCGTTGGTGTGGCGGCTGCGACGTGAGTTCACCTCTAGAATGTGCTGTAATTGTAGTTGACACTCATGCGTTGACGGCAGCGGCTGTAATGTGGATCATATATAGCCGTAAATATGTCCCTCTCTATACAAATGCGTACAGTGTGTAGACGAGCATACCGCGCTGGGAAATTTATTTAATGTTGCGCTCACACCGCCTCGCCACAGTTGACGCCACCACTGTATGCGACGTGCATGCGCCAGGCCAGGCGAACAGCTTGCTGGCCTATTGACGCGCTCAAATGTGTCTTGCTAAGTCTGACCTAGTCGCCGTCGTCTGTGCTATTTGCTGCCAAGTTATTTGCTGCTTTTCTTGTTTGCAAATGTCAAAAATGTGTCGCTTCGTCGGTTGGCAAATTTAATATTTGATGGTCATAAATCTTTTTGGCTTCTGCTTTCAACTTTTCATTTCTTTGTATACAATGCGCATTGTTGTTGCAATTGTTTTTGTTTTGATTTTTTGTTTACTGCTTTTGCTTTCTATAATTGTTTGGAAGTATTAGTGTGAGCAGTTCCTGCGTGTTTATTACTTAGTTTGTATGTATGTGTGTGTGTGAGTGCTCTGTAAGAATTTTGTTGCGTGAATGGTGTGCTTTTGGTCGTGATTGCTATTGTTGTTGTTATTGTTGGCAGTTACATATGCATTTAGTATGATAGGTAATTCGGTGTTGTTGTTGCCGTCAATTGATATCGGTTTGCTGTTGTGTGTTGTATTTTAATAAACATGTGTATGTTTTAATGCTCGTTGTTGTTGTTATGGTCGATTTGTGTCATTGTTGTCTTCTCTCTGCTATGGGATTTGATTGTTAAAGCTGTAAGATTTATTGCAAGTTTTGGTTGTTTTTGTGGTCAGTTGAAGTTTTTTTTTAAATTGTTGTTGTTGTTGTTGTTTTCAACTGTATTAATTTTTTTCTATGTATTAAATTCCCCAATATTTTGTTATAGCATTATTATTGTTGCTGTCTTTTTGTCCGTAAATTCATATTTCCCCGTCACTACAAATGTTAGACTAGCGATCTCAAGCTTTTAGCAAAATTTCCTTTAATTTTATCAAGCACTCTCCAAGTAATTTAATTTTTGATGCATTATCTTCTCTTCTGGTTCAGGTTCTGCAAACTTTCTAACTCTTGATTTTTTTGTTTTCTGGTTTTTATTTCTATCTCTCTTTCTTATTTTTTCATTTCATTCTTAGATTTCGCATATTTTTTTATTGGTTATTATTTTCTGTTATTGGTGACACTTTAGTCTTTTCCTTCCGCATTTGTACTAGTGACCTTGGCATTACTTCTGTAGTTTCGAGATTACTTTCTTAAAATTCGAAACAAGCAAGTATGATTTTTACAGACTCGCATTAAGCATTTTTAATGAGCTTTTTATTCATACTTTTTTTTTTTTTGGTTTTCCAAATAATTTTTTTTTTTTAATTTTCTTTTAAATAATTTTAAAGCTTTTAAGACTCTTTCAGTCTAATAACGGATTTTGTTTTTTCCACTTACTTTGCTTTTGTCTTAACTGAGTTGACCGATTGTTCTGATATTTTTAAAGTTATTATGAAAAAAACGCTGCTTTATTAAATTTATATATAAAAATATCACAACGGGTGTGCCCCTTGAAATTTGTTCACTTGAAATACATTTTTAAAGAAAAGGAAACGAGAATTAGACAAGAGCAAATAGTGATCTTCTAAGAGAATTAAAAGAAAATTATTAATCGCGATCTTTAAAAAGCAAAAATATATTAACGAATCATCTTATGAGAGCTTCCCGAAAAGCTTACATTGTAAGGCTGCCGAAGAAAGCACCCCATGTAAATTTTCTCATTCTCCTTATAAACAGATTTTAGATTAGGAATACAACTGTATAAAGTTGGTCAGACAAGAAAGCGAGAGAGTGGGAGAGCGTTCTCTGATAAAATTAAAGAACTTACAACCTCGGAGTTTTTGAGGTTATACAAAGCGTACACTTAACAAAATGCAATATGAAAAATGATAACCACCAATCAGCCAGATGAATATTTCTTTGCAAAGTCAAAGCAGAGATTTCTGCCCTTACTAAATCCGACAACAAACAGTCTTTTGATAAGAACGGTAGTTCCATTAGCTTATATACCGTCCTTAATTTCTTTTTGATGTATCCTGCTTCTTCAGTCATATCGAAGATTATCAGGAGCTACAAATTTATTTTGGAAACAGTCGATATTTGTCTAAGCGTCAACCCCAATTGTCCCTCAAGTAGGCTCCATGAATTTATTACAGAAACCTACTAGAAAGAAATGTCCCTCGAAATTTTTTAAAATACTAATGAATGAAAATTTATTCTGCAATTGATTTCAACTTTACTACAGAACCACATTTCTTATTTTGAGTATTCCAAGTTCTGAACAGCGCCTGTGACGTTTACATCTCTGCCAAATCAAGTTTCATTTAGCTAAGATAGGATGCTCCGATTTAGATCAGATATCCACCGTTCGTTGTTCGAAAACTTGTTGTCAGTTTAAAGGTAATACCATAATACCACTCTCAGAGAAACCCTCGTCACTATTGACGAAAAATTGGGACAGTCGATTTTTACAAACTTCTTTTGGGATTTTTGATTAGCCAAATCATTCGCCACAGACTGGACCAGGTAGTTATCACTTCAAGTTAGGTGCTAACTATAAGAGGGATGCTAAAAATCACCTATCCTAGGCTTCTGGCAGGTCACTATCGAGCTGTGTCATCTGGCGTTGTCTTTATGGAGAAAAACTCTCCTATTGGCGAAAGCTGACCATATCTGAGTGATTGCTTCTTTCAGACCGAATTAAGAGTTTGGCCGTAGTGGTGCAGCCTGAAAGTGGACGATACCCTTCCAATTCCACCAAGCACACAACAAACTCTTTCTGACAGTCAATACAGGCCAAGCTACTGTTCGCCGGCTCACCGTCCGACTATTTTTGATTGACGTTGTCGTAGGTGACCCTCTTTTAAACACCAGTAACCATCCGGTTCGGATGTTCGTTCCATGAGGTTTGTTTGCGTTAACACAAGTGGCACGCATACATTCGGGTCACTTGGCTTGAATTTTCGCCTTTATTGAAGGAAAACTGTAAAATATGGCGTAATAGATTTCTTTTTACTATACGTTATATGTATCAGTAGAAACTTGAGAAAACACGCACGACAAAATCCGGTATTAAAAACAACAAAATCAGAGTATTTGTATCAGATCAGTCAAACGTCGGAGACCCTATAAAGTATATAAATGATCAGCGTGACGAACTGAGCCGTTCTATCCATGTCCCTCAGTTTACCCATTTGTATGTATGCGAACTAATCCCTCAGTTTTTGGAATATCGACCAGAAGTTTTGCAGACTACTTATATCGAACAACTATACCATATAGTTTTCATACAAACTGACCGATCCAACTTAAGTCTTTGTAGGGAAAACTTTTTTATTTTACAAGGTATCGTCACGAAATTTGACAAATATTATTATTTCAGACAATGCTTTAATATCTGCCCATATTGTTCAGATTGGACTACTATAGCATATAGCTGTCATACAAAATCAAAAAAAACGATAATTTTACACCCTTTTAAGTACAAAAAATGCACCTGTGAAGGGTATTATAGCTTCGGTATTGTCCAAAGTTTGTTTAAGATGTTTGCAACATACGTCCATATAAAATTAACTTTCTTGCAACATATTTCCTCAGCATTCAGCTACTTGCTTCAACTTAATTTTAACGCTTTCTACAAATTTCACTTCGTCAACTTTTCTTATCTGCCATATAGAAAGCGCTTATTTTCACTTTTTATATATTTTGCCTAAATGCTGCGCCCATTCCACCTTGAAATTATGTTTTCATTTAATTAATTCCTTCAATGCTGTTTCAGCTGTTTTTGCCACACTCGTCAAGCATTATTTTTTCACGCTACTCTGCTGCGTATGCGACTGCTACTTGTTGTTGTTGCTTATATTTTGCCACTTTCCATTTTTTGTTGTTGCTGCCGTAATTTGCAGCTTAGCATTTGTCAAGTTGTATCTTTATTTATTTTCTTTTTGTCTTGTTGTTGTTGCAATGTTATATTACATATTTGTTGTTGTTGCTTTTAGCTGCTGCTGCTATTTTCCGCTGATTCCGCAAATCTGTGAAAATTCAGCAACGCAGCATTTAAACCAATTCTTCTGTCCCTTCTCCACTGCAGCAGTTGAAACGCGTTTCGTCAAATATTTGTACATGCACATACATAGATACATATATTTATGTATATATTCATATGTGTATGTGTTTGTCGAAACATTCCAACAGTCAGCAGCAATAAATTTTTACACAAATCTTTTATGTATGTATGTATGTGTGTGTGTGTGTCAGAAGCTGCTCTGACGCTGGTCTGCTTACTCGTGCGTATATATGTATGTGTGTTACTGTGTCTATCGCCAGCTCACGCTCGCTAAACTGGACTTATGCAAGGCCACCAATCGATATTCTTGGCCCCAGCAAGGAAAAAACACCAACAACAACAACAACGCAAACACATGAAACCCATTTGCAGTACGACGTGCGAAGTTCCTACAACAATACAACAACAACAGCAGTCATAATTCGGAAATTGAAAAATTAGAAAATTTCGATTTTACTTTTTCGCTTTTCATTGCGTTTTGCACTTTCTGCCACTTTCCTTCATCCGCACAACTTACACTGAAGTCACCGTGCACCTGAAAGTATGCTATGTTTTGTATATGTGTATGCGACGGCTTGAAGTTTGCAGTTTTTCGCTGTATTTCGCACTTTCAGCAACATTTTCACGACACTTTTTTACAGTTATGTTGATATTTTGCAAATATTTCGAGTTTTTTTTTGAGATTTTTTTACCGTTTTCTTGTCTGTGTATGTGTATTTACTTGCTTTTTTCGTTTATCAGTTAAATGTGTTTGCATATGTCGCGTGTATGTATGCGCTTGAAGTTGCATGTGTGTGTGAAAAAATATTTTGTACAAAAGTCAATACGCCCTTGTGAGGGGCAAGGAAACGCAGGTGCGCGCTTAGTTGATAGTAGTCAGAACTGCACTGGATGACGGTGATGCTGGAACTGAAAGAAATGAAAGTCGCTTTCATTTACAGCAGAGGCGAGCAGCAGACTCTAACGCGCGCACACACACGCGCACACGCACGCATAGCATCCTGTGTCCAAAAATAGCAGCGCCGCGGCAGAGTTGAAACATTTCGCAGACAGAGTTCATCGGCCAGCGCACAAAGAGCGTAAAAGAGTTTTGCAGCAAAGCGACGACAAAGCATAGATAAACAGCGCAATCAATGAAGTGTGTACAGATATAACATATATACATATATATGTGTGTGTGCGTGTGTCCAAAACAGCTGCTTTCGCCAAGCGTTTGTGCGTTCATCCGAAAATCATGAATTTTAGCGCGCGCGAGCTGCTAACTTTTCGTGGAACTATAATAACACACATATGGTTCACAGCAGTTAGGAACGCCGTCAGGACGCCTGGAAGTATGCTAAGCATTTACATTGTACAATTTGTCGGCGTAAAATGCGTGAGCGCGCATGCTTACGCTGTGAGCGGCTTGGCGACAATTGGCGCCAACTTCCATGCAATTTCTCCCGCATCCAGGAGAAATGAGTGTTACTGAGCGCAGTTGCTGAGCGCATAGCCAGGTGCGTGCTCTGTCGTTGGGAGTGTTTTGCTCACTTGCTTTTATTGCGATTCGTCATTCGTTCCACTCCGCCAACTATGCGTCTACTATATTTTTTCGGTGTTTGACATTTTGAGGTTCAGCGTTTTTTTTTTGCGGGCCGCAACACACAAGTGCAAGCATGTAAAACGTTCATATGACAACTGTTTTGACACTGCGAGCAGACATGCACACATGGTATTTCGTGTACCTGCCAAAGTAATGCCAACACAAGTTTCCCAGCAAGCATATGTGAATCGGAAGTCTGCACGTTGTTTTACGAGGAGGCTACAATATGGTATACTTCTATTTTATCAGCGGCAGGCATCTGCATATATCTGCATTACATATATTTTCACTAAGAATCGCGATCTGTAAGATTCCTGATATCTAAAATTAAGTCCTACCTCATTAAAATTTCACACGAGCTCGAGAAAGGTTCTTATTTTTTTGCTAACTACCTATACCTGCTTTGATTTTTTCAAGGGGGTATTCTAGTGTAGAATTTCAAAAAAAAAATAGTTAGATTTTTTCATATTTCCAAAGTTTAACTGTTTAAGTATATGTTATCGAGAGGATTATTTATTTTATTTTGATTATTTATTTTATTTTCGGAGATATAGGCATTTTACTGACCCGGTCTCTAAACTGGTTCGGCTGGGTCTAATCCAACAAAAGACTTTAAGCGAAACTTTAAATGCGTTTTTCTGAGACCAGACTTTTTCAATACGATACCCACGATTTCTCGATTCTACTGTACCGATCTACTTTAAATTTTCTGAAAATCTTCTTTATAGACCTATCTCGTGTATGAACTAGCCTTATTCCCAAATTTCAATTTTTGAAAAATACGAAAAAATAAAAAAAAATCGTTTTTATTTTGAAACAGTCGCCATTTTATACACAGTTTTTTTAATATTAATAAATAACTGGTAAAAAAATTAATTATATAAAATATTGTTTGCCTTTTTTTTTACTTTAAAAATTACCTAAAATTCATGTCTCTAGACTAGGATACCCTCTTAAGAACGTTTTACGTCCAACAAGCAGTCTTTTATTATTATAAACTGTATACAGCCTGAAAGCTAATTTTTATTAAAATAGACGAGACTGATTCACGATGTGTGTATTAAAAGAGATGGTTTAATGCTCTAGTATAATTATTTTAATGCTTATGACTGTACTATATGTTATATCCTGATCAAAGTCTTGACTGTTAGTCTGCGAACCAGGTTATAACTCATCTTCTGCTGGCAACAGCAAACCTCCGCTAATTGGCGACTCTGAAAATCTTATTATCCGAGATTTATTATTCAGCAGTAGGCGGCTTGCAACTAGTGGATCCACTTCTTTGTGGCATAAAATCTAAAAGAAGGGCGCTATATATGTATATAAGAAGAAGCTTATACAAATATATAGAAAAAGTTTATTTGTATTGGTGTAGGTTTCGAGCTGACTTAAATCATCCTTATAAACAGCATATAGTTCATATCTACATACATACATAAACCCATATACCTGTATTACAAAAAAAAAAAAAAAACTCGCTAATATATACCTTCAAAATTCTATATGTAGTTTATGTATATACAATTTATTCTATACAATATGATCGAAAATAATTTCATGTATACATGTATATATATACCGATACTATATTATATACTACACAGACGTGTATATTACTTTGCATATGTTGATTCCTTTTTTGTAGCACCATTCAACAGCGTGTTTTCAACGGATTAAGGTTCTTTATGCTCTTCAATGAAAACAGCATTCACGCGCATATTGAGACCACAAGCATACTCACATATAATTTATATAGGCAATGTATAGAAATAAATTTCCATAACGGTACATATGTTCATATGTTCTACATGCATATGCGCCGTCACATATTTATATATCTCCTCAAGTCTGGTGGTATTACGGTTCTTAACAAGTTGTTTTACAAAAGATTGATGTTTTTGATTGATTAATATACTTTAAATAGGCATTACACAGGGCTAATGATTTCACTGTGTATCATAATGTTTATACAAGCTCGTATACATTTGCCTTTCATATTTGCATTTATTAAACGGCAGACAAATATAGTAAAAGTTTGAAAATAACTTATTGTAATTGTAATATATAGTATATGAGTCGTAAGGCTGAGTGCGCTAAAAATAGAACTAACTGGCATGAGTGAGTAGTTCTGCCAACAATTTCAGTTTGTATGGGGAATGAAGCGAGGTATATTTTCGGAAATAAAGGGTTTTTATACTCATATCCAACAAAAGCCTTAAGAACGACCTCACTTATAGTCTCCCTACAATTCCTGCATATATATCAAGCATTTGGTTATATTACTATGAAAATATATAATCTTCGCTTGCATTTTAAATCAAATATCAGCAGTTAATATGTAGAACTATAAAGCCATATTTAATAATATCTTAAGAGACATCAGATAACCCAAAGAGTTAATATTAGTAGTTTTTTTTCTTGCCGAATTTGGAAAGTTTGTAATACTTTATTTACCGTCGATTTAACCAGAGCTTTAATGGAAAATCACCGAAACACACATATTTATACACTGAACAGGGTATATTAAGTTTGCCATGATGTTTCTAACACCCAAAAGGAAAAGTCAGGACCCTATAAAGTATATATACAAGTATAAATAAGCAGCGTGACAAACTAAGTCGATTTAGCCATGTCCGTTTGCCTGTCCGTCTGTCTGTTTGCTGAAATTGTTCAGATTGACTCACTCTAGCATATAGCCACACAAACTGAACGATCGGTATCAAGTGCTGGTAGGAAAAATTTTTTCATTTGACTATATGTCTTCACGAAATTTAGCTTGGGTTATTGCCTAAAGCAATAATGTAAACTTTGGAGAAATTTTTCAGTTGCGATCACTATAGCATATAGCTGTAGTGACAAACTGACCGATTGAAGTTCTTGTAAAAAATCATTTGTGTTTGTGAAGGGTATGATAGCGTCGATGCAACCGGAGTTAACGTTTTTTCTTGATTTTGTTTAAAATACTCATATCATCTTAATACTACTGAGAATTTATTTAAAATTACGTTCTTTAATCGCTGCTTCTGAACCAGTGAAAAATAATTAGTTTTCAGCTGTCAGTTTTCGAGATATTGATTTGAAATTTCGCGCATACCCCTTTCTCCTTAAGAAGCTGCTCACTTGTTGGAACCGCCGATATCGGACCATTAGACGTTATAGCTGCCACACAAACTGAGCGATCATAATCAAATTTCTGTACGGAAGACTCGTTTTTATTTTAACGAGATATCTGCATGAACTTCGGCATGGCTTACTGTCTAAGTCAACGCAACAATCTCCAAACAAATTGTTTAGTTTGGACGAGTATACAAGTAGGATATAGCTGTCATACAAGTGACCGCTCAAAATTAAGTTTTTGTAATTTTTAACTTTTTTATTTGTGAAGGGTATTATAGCTGCGGCGCAGCTGCGTGTTTTTTATGGTTTTACATGAAATTAAAACAGCTGTTGTATTAAAATTAAAAAAATTGTTTCATAGCATTTTTTAAACCCAATTCAGTTATGAGTTTTTTAATCAACCAAACAATGTAGGATAATTGTCATTTTTTACAAAAACAACTAACTATTTGCACTTACCTCAAAAGTGTTTATAATCCATCAATTTTAAATGAAAATTTCAAACTCAGTTGTTTTTACTAGACTTTTGAAAAAGATGTATGTATTTGAATTCATTTATATTATTATTAATAGTTTTCCATATGAACTGCATGCATCGAATACTTCAACAAAGGAGCTTTACAAACAATTTTTTTTAGTTTTTTTTTTAATTTTTTTTTTCATTTTGTTTTCGTTTTCATTTCGTGTGTGTTGACATTTAAAAAGTTACAAATTCGTTTAATTACAATTTTGTAAGGGTTATTTTGTAGTTGTAGTGATTGGTGGTGATGGTGGGGATAGTGGTGTGAGTACATATGTATGTATGTAATATCAATATTTTTCACAATTTACCATATTCTTTTAGGCATTTACACTCGTCTTCTTTCATATTTGTTATGTGCACATGTAGTTGTATGTATGGTATATGTATATGTATGTAGGTTATTAAAGAAGAATTTTAAATTTCAATATTTTAAGTACTTATGATTTGGAGATTTTCGAGAGATTTAGAGAGACTTGTGCTAAACTACTAGGAGTTGATTATTTACAATTACAAATACAAAATTGGGTGCAGTGCGACGGACAGCTTGTATGTATGTATTTTTATAGTATATACTTTGTGTTGTTGTTGTTTTGTGTTTTTACGGTAAGTGTGACTAACAGTTGAAATAGAATGAAATATACATTAAAGAGTTTTTGTGGATTTGAAATATTGTTTTAATTTCGTGTTTTTTAATTTGCCACGAAAATGAATTTCAAGTTGGTTTCTTTCGAAAAGCTTCGAAAAAGAAAGCTCTCAAACCAGATATGGTCAATATATGTATGGCTAAATGGCAGAGATGAACATATATTTTATCATTCTGAAAAAAAAAATTATTTTCAACTAAGTGTTCCTCTTTCTAATATGTTTTTATACTTTGAAGCTTCAAAACTGGACGAACGCTCGAGGAAAACTTATTAATAAAAGTTGGTGTGGAATTCACGCACTCAGCTATCAATTCACTTTATAATATGACTCTGCATATAATAACAATGCTCTCAATTGGGTTGCCAAACAACATGCATAAAGGGAAAGAGTATAGCAATAGAGCGTAAAGCTTTTAAGTTTCTTATAAGCTTTTCTCAAATAGCTTGTTATCTATTTTTCTAACGAACCCAAACTTCCACCAACCATTCAATATGTCATAGAGCGAAGCTTTGTAATATTCTAGCAAAGTGTTATTCTTATTTATGGCCTAAAATATCTTTTGACTGAATTTTGAAAACATTTTTATATTACTAGCGTATAAAATTGTTCCAGATATCTAATTAACATCGAACTTCTTAATCGCTAATCGCACCTAGCTATAAAAACAAGTTAGTTAGGGCACGAAACAGCATTATATATACTATGAATCATATCGAAATTCAAGGCCACACGCATCAATTTGGACCCTTAACATGTCACCTGAATTCCAACACTTCTTCAATATTCATCTAAGCGATTTAATATAAACCTGTCAAGCTGAACAGCTCTTTCAATGCTAGTATATTGATTAATTGATACGAGAGCACACGGGAAAGCTCTGTGTTGCTATTAATTTTATTGCATATTTTATGTGGGCAGTCATTTCGCTCGATATAAAACTTCGATATATCTCTAGAGAGTTATATTGTGTAAACGAATTTTATTTGGTTTTTCGAGAAAATTGTGGAAGTTCTAAACCCAGCGCTTTTTTATACCCTGACCAGGGCATACAAACTTTTTCTACGAAGTTTTTAACAACCCTGAACGTCGGAGACCCTATAAAATATATATGTATGTAAATGAGATATCGATCAGAAATTTTGCACATAACCTTTTCTGCCAAAAGTGCTGCTGTCATTTCAGACTCGCCGATATCTAACCAATATAGAATATAGCTGTCGTTCAACTAATCGGTTAAAATCAAGAGCTTGTAAAGAAAACTTTTTTAATTGGTGAAATTTCTTCACTAAATTGGACACAGATTACTGCCGCTATAATCCTCGAACAAATTGCTTAGATCAAATCACTATAGCACATAGCTGACATACAAACTGATCGATCAAAATCAACATAAAGATCTTTTTACACACTTTTATGCTACCTAATAAACGTGTGAAGGGTAATGTAGCTTCTGTGCAGCCGAAGTTAACTATAGACACAGTTAAAATTTCGCTTGAAAATTCTGCTATAACTTGAAAAAACTTTATATCAACCGACGTCACTCAGCAGTCAGAGAGGTGAGATATTATTACTACTTCAATGTACTGAATGCTAGTAAATCACACATGGAAGTCCGTTAGATTGCGTCATAATTTTAGAAATAGCAATCTTAAGTTACCAAGGCTATTATATAAATCATTTGAGAATTGCTACAAATTCTTTCATGAAACAAGTGAAGTTTAAAGATTGTATTTAACTTTTAAACAAAAAGGTTCAAAATTGAAATGTACTCCGATCCAATCAATTCTATTTCCGTTGGGTATATAACACAAGCTTGTTTATAAAAGTATACATGTATGCATATTTATATGCATATATCTATGTAAATGTGTTTGTATGAATGTATGTGTGTTTCAAATCCATTTAACACCGCTTAAATTCGAGCCTCACCATTTTCATCATTGACTTACTACATTTTTTGTGCTGTCCATTCAGTTACCTTTTAGTCTCCTCACATTGACACATACACACACAAACACATACAAATCGACTTATGCATAGTCAAGTGTGTCCGTCACTCGATTTACATTTGGCATTGCACACAATTTGTTTGTTTACCTTAATTTATTATATACAATTACGAATTTCATTTGACCGAAATCACTTTGCTTACATACGCACACATATAAGCGTATGCTTCTACTTAGATATATATATGTATGTATATATTTATATTTAAGTGTGTATGTATGTATTTTAGTATCAGCCGGCTGCAAATTACGGTTGTAATGCTTTTACTTGGACATGATTTTTAGCTATGAACACATTTTATATAAAATTTCCGTAATACAAGTGTACAATTACATATATGTATGTATGGATATATGCATGTGCGTTTAGTAAGTAATGCACGCGCGTATACTTAAGTGTTATGAGTATGCATGTATATTGTTATCTAAAATAAGGCTCATTCCCACAACAGTGTTTAGCTTAGGTAGCCAAACGAGAGTATTGTACAATATATGTATACATGTGTATGTCTGTATGTATGTATTCATATTTGTTGTTGTGCGTAATTTTATGAATTGCATGAATTTAACAGTTAAATTGCACAAATACCAGCGCACACACACACACAGATAGCCACAAAAACACCGAAACGCGCACTTACATACACTAAACCGCAAAGCAACTGCACACACACATATACACAAGCGCAATTGCGAGTGACGCACAGGTAATCGACACAAGTGATGTGTGTTAAGTGCTTTTGTGGCCGCTTTGGCCATCAGCTGACGCCTTCAAATGCACGTTTATGCAGGTAAATGTGTGCAATTGTTTGTAATTGCGGTTTACTAATCCGCACGCACACACACACACATATACATACATTTTGGGCGCTTCAATTCATTACCCTTTGCGCACATTACTCAATGATCTACGATATTTCACTATTCGCCTTTGCTATTTATTACAAATATCTCTACAAGTCGCCAAACATACACACACTCAAGTTCAAGTATTTAGCATATGTGGCCTACAGGGCGTATGCGTAACATGATTATAGTAAAAGCAGTGAACAATTTATTTACAAACAGTGGCGCATTAAACTAGTTCAACTGATATTTTTGAGAATTTATCGTGACATTTATGAATATAAAACTTAATGTTTTAAAATTTGATGTTAATTTTTTTTCTAATATATTTCAGTAGTGAAATTTAGAATATACTACAATAGTAGATCTTCAAATTATATTTAAAGCATATTTTGTATGGAATTTATATATGTTAGCTCAATTTTTATAATTATAATAATAACAAGAAAAATCGTTAAATTCGGCTGCACCGAAGTTATAATACCCTGCTCAAGCTCAAGTTTTTACAAGAACTTGATTTTGATCGTTCAGTTTGTTTGGCAGCTATATGCTATAGTGGTCCGATCTAATCAATTTTTACGTAGATTGTATTGCTGCCTTTGGTTTTAATTTATGCTAAAGTTTGTGAAGATAATTTTTCAAATAAAAAAATTGTACATACAAGAACTTTATTTTGATAATTTAGTTTGTATGGCAGCTATATGATATAGTAGTCCGATATCGGCGCTTCGGACAAATGAGCAACTTCTTAGAGAGAAAAAGACGTGTGCAAAATTTCAGATCGTTATCTCATAAACTCAGGTACTTATTTGGGTATATACAAAAAGACGGACTTACATTGTATGGGGTATCCGACGTTACCTTCTGGCTGTTACAAACTTCGTGACAAACTTAATATACGCAGCTCAAAAAATGTTTAAACATGCTTTTTTAAATCTTTTTATGCATATTTAATTTTTTGTGATTACATTAAAAATGTTCTTTAATAATTTCAAACTTAAGAAATATATGGTAAAATATTTGTGTAAAAATGCAAAATCATATTATTTTTAATCACAAACAAAATTTGTGACGAAAAATTTATTTTAATGTAATAATAATATTTAAGTAATAAATAACGCAACAATTTTTTTGTAAACTATTTTTGTAGTAAAATTTTTAATGTGGTAGGCGTTAAAACTGCTAAAAATCAATAATTTTAGAAAAATCATATAAAAATAAAAAAATTAATTAAAAAAAAAATTTTTTTTTTTTGTTGGCATAATGTTGTTCTGCTTATTTATTATATGTATACTATTTAAATTGTAAATTTTTTCGTGATTTTTTTTAAACGTTTCTAATTTAAATAATATTTTTATAAATGGTAAAAAAGTTTTCTTCCATAAATTATTATCAGCAAAACGTCAATTAAGCACAAAAGTTTTAAATTTCTGACAAGCATATACTTCGTACGCATATTGCTGGCCTCCACTGTAGATGCTAATATTTGTTGGCTTTATTTGCGCTCAGCAGTTAGTTTGTGGCGCTGTGTGTAATTGGCTTCCCGTTGAACTTAATGCAAACTTATTGTTGTTGTAATGTTGTTGATTTTATAAGTATTTCTACTACACTTTGAAAACACAGCTCAATCACACAACTGAAACCACACACACATACACTAATACATTTTCCTAATTACAACTAAATTGACTAAAACCAATACTTAAATATTTATACTACAACTACACACACATACACATACAACATTGATTTAATTGCTCGCTTCATTCATTCATAATTTACGAGTTGCCAGAACATATTTCTAAATTTTCGTATCTAATTTATTTAGTTTTATGCTTTGAGTTATTTTTTTAAATGTTTAATTTTTAATTTTTAATCTTTAATTTATCTACTAAATACATACAAACTATTGAGATAAAGCTTTCAAACTCCTTAGGGGCATTAGGGTACTAGGCTCTAAGTGGGGTTGAGTGATGTGACGGGTTGTGGTGGTGTTGTTTTTCGTTTTTGTTACGGTTGTTGTTGTTGTTGGTAGTAATGGTGAAGGTATAAAATGTAGTTGTAAAAGTTTTGCTCTCACTTGTTCTCCGTTAGTTGATTGACTATTCAAATGCTAATGCATTATTAATAATACTCGAAAAGTACATTGCTCCTATATATAGGTATGTATGTATAAGTAAGTATGTATATAAGTTTATACATTTTTGTATTTAAATTTTTTATTTTTATTTCTGTAGTTTGTAGAATTTTTTATGCTCTCTTGCAAATTTTAGTTTTTTCCTCACTTATATGTGTACTCGTATGTATATATGTATGTTTAGAAGTATATATTTATGTATGTATGTATTTCGTTATATAAAATTACATTAGCAACATTTTTCTTTATTTTTTATTTTGTTGAGAAAAAGTGAAATTATAGTTTCTAAGAGACTAGAAGTGTAAATACATTCGTGAATCAGATCTTCTTTAAACATGCACTCATGCTTATATGTACTGTCTGTACCTGTTAGTATGTAGACCGCGAGCTTTTCTTGAATACTTTTTGTTTTCATGCTTCGCTTAAAAGTTTAGAATTTTTTATTTTTATTTTTTACAATGCACATCTTTTATCTGCTACCTTCAAGGCCATTGTCGACAATGCACGTGTCTGGACAGATACAGTGGTAACAAAAAGTAAACGACATATTATTATTATTTTTTTTTTTTGCTTAAAAACATTTAGAAAACATATACAGCATTGCTTTAGAAGCGGTAACTGATTTTGTTGTTGAGCTTTTTTCGCTCAAACGTGAAAATTCCCCATTAGGTCTGGCTTCCAAAGCCTTCAGTAATTTGTTCAATCTCCAAGAAGTCGCAACCAGATGTAAATCTTTAGATCTCCTTACATTTCAAAAACGAAATTTTCGGATATAAGCACTATTTTTTAGACTCTGATGAATCAAATTTACTAAACTCGAAAACAAAACTCCAAAAGGATAGTATTGGTGTAGAAGATTCCGGAGAATAAGCGACATCGAGTATATACAAGCGTTCTAAACTTAACACAAAAAGTTTTGGACAATATAACCTCTAGCTTAGTAAATGAGCTTAACATTCCGTTCGGTTATTGGTATTCACGATCTCTCAATTACTTTCCTTCCTTTGAATTCTTACGGCTTACATATTATATGTTTTCAAATAAACCACGAATCTTCTAAGAAAACATTTTCAACGCTTGTGCATCGTCTTAAATGCCTTGAACCTTTGCCTATTATCAGTTATTGCAGTAACTGACTTTCTTCTATCTAACGCTTATTAATTATTAATTATTCACCTACACTGATGTCGTTATCTGTTCAACATATTGTAGTGGTTTGGAGAGCGATTGTGAGCGTCGATGGCGGTAGCGCGGTGTTGTAGCGGCACCGTGTATAGCGGCGACTGCCGCCGCCGTTGCTGTGGCCGCTGCTGCGCCAACGCCCCTTTGATGATGCCGACACGTGAAGTCGTAGTCGTGATCATGACGCGGCAAGTAGATAACTTCACGTGATAAGGCAGTGGAAGAACCGAGACGCGATGTCGTCGTCGCTGCTGGGGTTGCCATTGTCTTGCATCTGCACAGCTGATTGCCGATGGTGGAGAGACCTTCAGGAACACTACGACTACGCGAGTTTTGCAAATAATTTGTGGAGCCCTGATTGCAGGTGCACAGTAACGGTTGATGTATATGCGATCTGTGGATGGAATAAGTTTGAGGGAATTTCGATTAGTTTTATGTTGCAAATTGTTAGATTGGAGTTAAAGTGAAATTAAACTTGAAAGTGGGAACTGGTTTGTTTTTTGTTGTGTCTTATATATCGAAGAAGCTTCGTAAATTGTCCGAGTTATATAGTAAATTCATCAGACCTAATAAATAGCTGAATAAGTGGTTGCCCTAATGCATATATTTCTTTTATCACATCACTCTAAATTCAACCTGGCTTATTTAATTTGAGGAAAATTATATTCATGTACCACCATTTCCATGACGGTTTGGGTTTATATAATTAGAACAGATTTGGGTTTTTAGCCAGCCAAGGACCGTCAATTGAACAACATTCCTCAAACTTGTTTGGCCACTTTTTTCTATCATTACAAGAACGATATCAACGAAATAGGCTTTCGAAAACTTTGGACCGATTTCAACAGTATTTTGTGTCGAATATTGTGGATAATAATGGTAACCTATTTGCTAGTAATCAACGAGATAAGAGAATGACTAAAATCTATAGTAAGATAAGTACTGATCTCGCAATCAGTACATTGTATTTAGATCCGCTTTATCTAGTAAAAATGAACGAGAGGAATGTTTGCGACCAGTTTAGGAAGAAAATCTTCCAAAAATCTTGGATATTACATATACAAAAATCTGTCTCTATATCTTTCATAATTTATCATAAAGTTCAGCAAACTGTTGAGATCATAAGTGTAGTGTTCTAAGAAAAAGGCCTAATAGTGCTCTGCTTTGTTCATTTCGAAGCTTAAAATTGAGAAGGTGCCCAACATTATAACATTTATCACTATCCCATAATTACCAAGACACAATTTTATGCCTCTAACATATTTCTATGTAGATTTATTAACACAAATCTACTCAAATTAAAAAAGAAAAAACCTCACCTTGGTGATGTCTGCGCCCACTGATAGTTGTCATGGCAATTGCAATACCATTGTCCATTACAACAGTAAGGATTTTGTATGAAGGACAAGCTCTTCTGCAGTCGCTTGCCCATGCTGCGTCCCATGCTCGCATAACCCTGCTCAATGTCATAGTGTGGACTATGCGGTCGACTCATGTCCGCCATATGGCCACGACCTCGTGCCGCAGCCGCACCGTGTACCGCACAGTTTTGCAATTTGTGCACGCTTGGCATACGCCAGCGATCACAGTAGGCATTATTGCGACAGAGATTCTCGAAATCCACTTGATTCAGGCTCACACAACTGCGACTCATTAGTAAATCGGGCGCGGGATAATCACAGCCATTGTAGACATTAAAGTCCACCACGGGCTCATGAAAGCCATGTAGTTTGCAGTATTGTGGAAAAGGACGTAGCGTCGGTATAGCGCCATTGCCATGCTTCTTATTATTGCCCTGACTGCTGATCTCCTGCTCCACGGTTGTGTAAGTCATGAAGAATATTATGATACCGCCAATAGCAGCGGCTGCTGAGCAAATGAAATAACCAGCGCGTCCATAATTTAGTGAGTAATCGTTCAGGAAACTGGTCAGCGGTATGCTAATGAGCACCGGTAGGGATTCGGCGCCTTTGATGAGCCCTGCAAAGAGAAGAATTTAACGATAAAAATATCTAAAGCCATATTCTACAATATATTTTTTATACTCACCCCATGCCTTTGAGAACTGTTTCACCTTAACTCGGTCCAGTGTTAGTATTTTAAAGGCATAACGGAATCCGCCGAAACCAATGCCGTACATCCAGCCGAGTATACAAAACCAACGAAAACTTACGACGAAGGACAGGCTCAATATCGAAATCGCTACCAACGCAATAAATACCTGTGAAGTAGAAAAATGTTATTTTATAAATAATTTTTCGAGTTTTTTTTTTGACTATTCCGTCTTACCTGAGACACAATTTGTGAGGTTATTAAGAAGCTACCTATTCTAAAAGTCTTACGCAATATTGTACCGGCTATAAATACGCCGATTGTGGTAGAGACGCCTAAAAAAGTCTGTAGCAGTACTAAGTCTTCTATATCGGGGCCCTCCTTGGCGACAGTCAAGGTCTGGAAGAAAGAAAAATTAAAGTTATAGAGAATAATAATGAGGTTCACTTTGTATAGTTAAAAATGCAAACTTAACGGTTCAAACTTAAAAGTTTTCTAAAACTCAAATACTAAATATTGCAAGCTAGTTCACAAGTAGTTTGTTTCGAACATGTACTTTTTTTGTACAACACTGAAAGTCCTTTCGCTTGAGCCTCGAGATTTTAAGCCCCAATTTCGTTATTACAGAATAAATACATCTCTAATACACAACATATTTTACTAGCATTCCGAGGACAATAAACTTGATTGAACGATTTGAATTTAGTATGTCTTTCATATATGATTTCGTTGCGGTTTATACCATAATTGTTACATAATAAAATAGTTAAAAACAATTGAACTTATAATAAGTTCGAAACTTTCAGAAGACTCCATATAACATGAGGGCGCAGGGTATCTTCGAAAAATGTTGAAAAGGTGCTAAAAGAAAAATTGTTTAGCAAGCTTATATTCAGTACCAAACGATATAGTCTGAGATGAGCGGCTATCATGATAGGTCTTAGGATTCTTGAAAGGTAAAAGGGTGTTAAATTTGAGAGGTATTTTCATCCAAATTTTATAATATCATATGAAGGAATTGCGCAATTTTGTTAGGCTTAGCTCAAGATGTGGTGTTAAATAAGTAGGACACAAGAAGCATGTAAAGTAGAGATCAGTATCTTGCGGACGAAATATGAGATTTGGTTAAATAGGTATTCATAAGCTTACATTGTCCAGAGCACAACTGTGAAAAAATTACTTGAATCTTATGAATCTCATTAGGTCTTATGATATTCTGATTTCTTGGAAAACTATGTGTGGATCTTAGTTGCGGCTATTTAATCAAAATTCAGATCGGTTCTGTAGTTCACATTTAGTAATTTCTTCTCCCACAACCAAATTCGTCATAATATAAAATATTCTTTAAAAATTTACCATTGAGATCATGGGCGTGTAAATCCCTAACGCCGCCACAGCAGCTGATACGAGTAGTATTTTCACATTAGTTGATTTAAAGGGTGATATGTCGATAAATAAATAACGGACTGTTTTCTGTTCTGTTGTGACCACAGCTCTTGATTTGTTCTCATGCATCTGTGAAGAATGGATTTTCATATAAAAGTATTATTTAAAATAAAATAAATTCGAAGATATGTAAAATAAACCTTTTTTCTCTGGTTTTTCAAATGTTGTATGGCGCGCCTTTGGGGATGATATAGTGATGCGGGTCTATATAATAAACCCATAAAGAAACTAACCGCTACAAGGCCGGCAACAATTTGGAGACCAACACGCCAACCAGCATTGCTGAAAGTAGAGATTTATTATTTTATTTTCTTTCTTTGAAGATCACTTTATGCTGAGCACATAGTGGGCTCTTACTTCCTTCGCTGTTGCGCTATGGGTTCAATCGCAGTTCTAAACTAGGCTATTTGCTTAAGTGAAGAAATTACTTACCCAACACCCTCCCGCAGTATCACAGAGAAAATCGATATGCCCACGCCTTCGCCAGACATAGCGACCATTTCGACAAATTGCCTACGTCGCTTAAAATAATTTCCTAACATTATTGTGGACGATTCACGAACCATGGCCACCGCAACACCAAAAACAATACCTAAAAGGCGTAAAAAGATTTGGGTGTTATATATTTAACGTAATATGTATTCTTGGCTGAAGGGATATTTGTAAAATTTAATGCTTCTTGGGTGGAGACACTTTTCTTTATAAACACTTACCATAACTAAAAAATATTTGCCCCAACTCCGTTGCGAAGGAGGTAAATAGTATGCCTAACGGTAGCACTAGACCACCGACCACTGCCATCAGTCGCGTCGATTTCTTTCGACAAAATGTGATCACAAACGGTGATAGTAACATAGAAATTGACCAGTTTAAAGCACCGACCCACTCTGCAGCAGAAAAAAGTAGTAGTCAAATTTACGTGTTGTAATACTTAACCTGAGCCTCACCAATGCCGTTGGAGTCTCTCAGATGTTCTATGGCATAGAAGAGTAATAGACCGCTTGACAGCTGTAAACCTGTAGTTAGTATATGCACCAAAAAGGCTATGCCACATATGATCCAACCCCAGCCGCCATCTGGATAGAAATACTATAGTAGGAAGAGAAATTTTAAAGCCGTTATGTTGACGTTAACCTAACCCAACTTTCTCATTATTACTTCTATGACTAAATTTTATGGGTGGGAACACTGCTGACTCATTGAATCACAGACCTAAATGTTGCTTTATGCAATGTTATACAAATCGATAAAAATTTAGTAATCTTTATGCTTTCTAAAAAAGGTGTAGCCCTTGTTAGTCAGACTTGAGCGATATTAAAAAATGAACCAATTCCATATCAGAGAAACTGAATAGAACGCTATGTGTAGGTGCCAGGCATCCAACTAAAAAATCTTAAAGAAACTCAACTCTGCATGGGATGTTATACAATTCGGAAAGACCTAAAAGAGATATCAATCAGTGCCGCGGCCACGGATAATATCAAAAATATACGGAGAAAAGAAATGACACAGATTAAACGATGTAGCAATCTTGAGGCTTCTAAGTAAGCTTCCTGAAGTTTCTTGATAGTTTAAGAAGAAGTTGAGTTGTAGATAGAACGGTAGATACTTGAGTGCAGAGCCGCCTGGCGCCAAAACAAGAAGAGATCTACATAATTAATTGTATTTTTGTTTGAAGGCAGTGAGTCTACGGATTAAAGCGACATTAAATTGTTATGAAAAATGCGCTGGGAATAGAGGGCACCATCCTTTGCCATTTAAAAATATTTAGACAAAAATTTTTATGCAGGGATAAAACTTTCGATTTAAAAATCACCGAAACAGTTACATTCTATCAAAAAATTATTGTAAATCCCTAAAGCCTAATCCTTAAACTTACCTGTCTAATTCCTGCCGTGTCAACACCGGTACGCCGCAAGGCCGGTATATTTCGGTGCAGCATGTGAAATTCACGATCATGGAAACCCGGAAATGCCGAATCCTCCTCATCGGTCAAATGTGTGGTGTGTTCATGGCCTGCAGCGGCAAAGTGAAAGAAAACAAAGCAAAACGCGCGCATGAAATTTATTAACCCCAACAGTAATCCATCATTGTTGCGCTAACTCACCGAAATAACAGCCGTTGGGCACCAAAGGTTTATGACTGTCATGCAGTAGCGCAGCGCGTGGATACTGTTGTTGCTGTTGATGTGGGTGCGTTGGAGGCGCTTGCTGCTGGCATGTGTGGCCCATCCCACTGCCAGCATACATGCATGTAGGCGCCGCAGTTGCCTGGTTGGCATTGTATAGATGACAGCAAGGTGTCGCTGCGGCATACTGACTCGGGTGCCAAGTGTGACTGCCACTCACACCCGCACCACCACCACCACCACCAGCAGACGGCAAATGACGCGCACAGTACGCGCGTTGTGGTGTGTCCAACGGTGCGGCGGCTGCTGACGATGGCAATGTTGCATAGCTGCCATAGAGATCCATATTTTGTAGCGCGGTAATGGAACGCGAATGCGAGAGCGCGCATGGCTGACGTTTCAGCGTGCTGCCGCTGGCACCACCAACATGTGTCGGCTGCATTCCGCCATGATCGAGTGGATAATGGACACTTGATTGCTGCCGCAGACAACGATTGGAACCATAGAGTTGTTGGCGCGTGACGGTCTTCTTTGCGGTGGCTGTGGTAGCCATGTTGCTGCTGCTGTTGCTGTCACTTGGCGTGGGCGGGTCTTCGCGCGTTGCGTTGCTTATTGGTGGCGCGGGTAAAGGACGCTGTTGTTGTTGTTGTTGCTGATAATCGTAGTTGCTGCCGGCGACGCGCGCCAGTGGTATTGCTTGTGTTGTCGGCGCTGGAATTTTTGCTTGCTGTTGTAGTTGTTGTGGCTCCGTTGCGGCAGCGGTGCTTTGTTGCAGACTCAGACTCGAGCCCAAATTGGAGAGGCGCGGGCAAGAGACCCACCAAGTGATTGGTTGATTGTTGTATCTACAGCGTTGACACAAGTAACGCGTCGCGGTCACGGCCGGTGTGGCAATGGACGATGTAAATTCCTCTTGCAATTGTTGCGCTCTGTTGATTTTCGGTGTGAGTGTTGTCGGTTTGTAGGACACAAACGCCAAAGAAGTTGATTTCGCGGCAGACGCGTTTTTTGCTATCGTCGACGTCGCTGCTGCTGTTGCCGCGTCTACGGTATTCGCCTCCTTTGTGACTTTGGAGCTATGCTTCGGTTTGCGCGCTGCCGTGAATGTAAGCGCGCAAGTGACTGTGGACCTATCGGGATGTGTGCAGGCTTGATTATTCCTTCGTCACACGGCACAATGTTGGCAAAGCACTGGACTACGCGACGGGCGGGTACGTACTAAACTCGAGTATTGACGTGTTTGCTGATGTGTCGAATGATAATGCTGTTTCGCTTGTTGCGCTACTTGTTCGCTTGCGCTGATGTGTGGACAATGTGGTTGTTGTTGTTGTTGCTGTATTAAATCGCAATGCTGCGTTAGCTGTGGACAACTGCCGTACAATGCGGACGATGAATTCGACAATCGGCGATAGCAATCACCATTGGCCATTATATCGCTCGGACGGCGATCGGTGATGTTGGTGCTGCACGAGGCGCGGTCGCTGCAATTGCAATCACATGAACAGTTGATTTTCATTTTATACGCGGCGCTTCAACACCGACCAAACACAATGTCGCGCAAATAAACAAACAAAAACTAACGCAACAGCGTGCAACAACAAAAACCCAACAACAAATTCCGCAAGTAAACCCGAAAATAATAATAACTTTGTATACGACAGGGATTGCGCTGTGTGGTGCCGCCGCGCGCTATCACTCTTCTCTTTTTATTGTTGTCGTGGGAGTTGTTGCAAAAACTTGGACGTTGCGCGCCGCGCGCTCTACGTTATTGCGTTCCGCAGTCCAACACACTCGGCTCATGTGAACTGGCACTTGTGGTTCTTGCTGTTGTTGTTATTTTTATTTTTAATATTTTTATTATTTTTCTTATTGTTGCTGTTGTTGGCAGTGTTAGTAGCAGTTATCGTTGTGGCAGCGCAAGCAGTAGCGGTGGGAGCAGCAGCAGCAAGTCAAATAAAAAGAAATCCATTGGCATTGCATTAAATTGAAAGTTTCCTTTAGCCTAATTAGAATGATCCGATTAAGATCAAATAAGACGGGATTTTTTGATAATTTGTTACCATTTAGAAAGTAGTTTGTTCTAGACCACAAATCCTGAAATAATATTTAAAAATGCAAGCCAGTCCCAAATAGATTTGATTATTTTAGCAGCAATTTGTTGCAAATTAGCTTCGTTAGTCATTGGAGATGCCATATTTACCTAGGTCTAAAAAAATGTTAGAAATAAGACAGAAATATTAACAAACATCATACGGTCACTACTTGAGCCATAATGGACCTTTCTTGTTTTATCCCCTCCGTTTCCTCTTCAAATGTAAAACTTTTAAAACTATTTATAACTACAATTAAATAACATAAATTTCCGCATGAACGGCTGCCATTGAATACTCTGAAACAACTTAAATTTTCCATTCGAAAAACATACTTCATAACGAGAGCGATGAAATGGCGAACTTTCGCAAACAAACGCCTCCCACGCACAACCACTTCGTCTGTTCATTCACGCATACAATTCATTCATTTACTATTTTATACACACATATATGCATACGCGCCTAACCTCTAACTACTTTCAAATTCACAATTCGCACGCGCATCATTAGCCAAATCGAAAGCAGTGAAGGTAAATATTATTGCATGTCTATCACAGTTAATTGCCGGCCTTCCGCTTCACAACGTGGCCACCTTCCACTCGCCTCCACTGCATTCCGCTCTTCCACGCCACGCCATGTCGCACCCCTGCCAACTGGCGCAACCACATAATTTGCTCATCAACATCAGCATTCAATCAATCTTTGTTGAATTTGTGTCAAGCCAAGTTAGCAACACACACACACACACACCCAACCATACACCCGTCCAAGTAGCATTGCTTGCAAACTGTATTTATAAGCATAAACAATATTCAAGCGGTCGGCGCGTCTGTCCGCTCAGCCGGCAATCACTGCCAAATCGAGCAAATGAACTCCGACCAACGAAGACGCTGCCGGTCGCCGTCACTCAACCTGCCAGCCACACGCTCAGCATGCGGCCATGCAGCCATCTTCGATCACCCATCAATCGTTACATTGAGCTCGTGAGTAGCCTCAATTCACCCACTCACCTATACAAAAAAACAAACACACACATGCACGCGTGTATAGGCAGCGGCGCATATTTATCGAGCAATTTGCTTGGTCCCATAAACATGCCAAGTTTTCAACGCATAGGCATCTGCTTATAATCCTTGAGCTATTTTTGGTGCTGAAATGCAATTTCGCCATCAACGACGACGACTTCGGAGCGTTTCGTTGCAGGCGCATAAACATATTTGAGTGCTGTCGCTACTGTTGCCGCCACTGCTGTCCGCACTTAAATATTGTATATTGCATATTATAATAATACAATGCGGAGCAGAATAATGGAAACGGTGCTGCAATGAATTTTTGAGATACTGTTTTGGTTGGCGGTTAATATTTTTTACTTTTTAATTTGCAAACGAATAAATAATAATCATTCAGGCATCTAAGCTTACCTGTTACACTTTAAGCTCCTAAGCTTTTCAGAAGCACAGCTGCCTAAAAAAAGTTTCTTTATAGACCAAAACATTGTTCTAGTAGTGATACACTCTATTATAAATATCCGTTTCTGTAGAAATTTGTACCAAGTCTCTAATAGTTTTGAAATTAAGAAACTCCAAGCCACACTGAATGCAGAGCTTTAGGAAGCTTTTTTTGATCTGTACGACACGACTAGGTCCTTATATGGCAACCAATTTATGTATTTGAAAATCATGTCTAAGCTCTTTTGATTCTATTTTGAACCAAAACTTGTTTTTGTTTTCAAACCCTTTAATTATAACTGAAAGCTTTCATTGCATATCTTTCATTCTTTCATTATTTCCACTTCTCTCGCACTCTCTATCCCTTTCTCATCGGCCTAATTTTTCAAGTGAAAAATTTCGAATTCGACGAATGAAAAATGGGAGCTTATAAGGTTGTGGAATTGTCAAGCATTGTGGGCAGGTAGATTTTCTAATTTCTTCTTGTATAGGAAAACTCTGCAGTAATGACAAATATGGTAGCAGACCTTTGCTAAGGTTTCAGCCCATCAAAATGCATTTTAGACATATCCCTTAAAGCCGATTTGTCTGATTTAAATGAAAAAGAGTTATTCGGGGTTAGATCGTATTTAGGACTTAAATTAATAAATAATTTATATTGTAGTGAAACATTCTTAGACACAGTAAAATAAGGCGACGAACAGGATATTCTGTAACGAAACAAAAATTCCAACACACACCCATTACATAGAGGGTCATCCTAGTGAAGACTGAAACGAATTGATTTGATATTTTGATACAAATGATATTGGGTATAATACTCAGATGGTTTAACGAAGAAAAAATTACAAGGTTGCCACCTGTCTGTAAATTTTCAAACGACAAAAAAAATAATGTGAATGAAAACTATAAACTGACGTGGTTAAGAAAAGCTTACAATTCAGAATGATGTTAGGAGTTGCCACCTTTTTATTTTTTATTCGTGAAAAAATACAATAAGGACATCAAACTAATCAAGCATTAAAAAATAAAGACGCCAAAATATGTCTGTTTAAAATGTTAGATAGGAATAAATAATTTCACAGATGTTGCCACCTGTTTTTAATTTTTTTTTAAAGTTACAAATTTTTTATTGGTATCATAGTTACAATATTTGCATGAAACTAAATAAGTTTAGGAAAGATTTTTTTCAAAATATTTTTACAAAGGCTGCCACATGCTAAAAAAATTTTATTTCAAAATCTTTATTGAACTTAATGTTTTTGAGAGCTCCCAGGCAGTTTTACTTCTGTGTGGCATAATTTTGAAAGTGTTCAAGCTAACTGCTCCTATTTCTTTACCCAATAGTGTATACCCACAAACATATATTTATATATACATATACCTATATACATAGATGCAAAATGATAGAATGTAAGCACCTTGCATATTGTCCTCCTATAAAAGCATATATGCTCGTATATTTACTTGTAAGTAAGCATAAAACAAAGGTTTTACGATGGCCTTACAACCAGCACTGTCGGAAATTTTCACCCAAAGCCAACTGGCAAGCGTGCCAATAAGTACGAGTACAAACAGGAGCCTTATCAACACGCGCCTCGAAACTTACACACCTATATATGTATGCATGTGTGTGTTTTTCTTATACCCAACGCTACCATATAAAGCCCAAAACGTCTAAGTTCGCACATGCGATAATTTATGTACATATATGTGTGTGTATGGGTGGCAGTTGGGTTGCATGTGTAACCACCAATTTGTTGCAGAGACGCACTTGGCAAGTGTTTTATCGGTTTCCGGTGAATCGGTTGTATGCAAATGTTGGTGGCATTAGTAGGGATTTGATAATTGAATCAAGTGCTAGTTGGTTGAACAAAGGTAATTGTTAAGTTTCGGAAGACAACAAAAAGTGTGCGGAAACCGAATTAAGTTTGAACTTACTCTTGTCTATGACAACAATGACGACCTGGCCGCTGCTGCCTGTATGTGCCTCGAACTAAGTTGAACAGCAGAGGTGCGAGAAACAAAGCAAATTTATTGGCATCACTTCGAAGGGTAGAAGAAAATCGCTTGGTTTTGATAGCCGACATGAATGACAGGAAAGATTACAGAAACCAAAACTCAAACAAAAACTCCGTGCGAAACTGAGAGAGAGAAACTCTTTCAGGTAAATTTGATTTGATTTGATTTTCTAATCTTTTGGAACGCACAATGCTGCAGGGACTTGTAAAGTTTATATGGCAAGGCATTGTTGACTTTAGAGGTTATGCGTGATTGTGATTATCGAGTAAGTTTTGAGTGGTTGTTTGTTGGGCATGGGAATTCATAAAGTCTTTTGACGAATTCAATTTATTTCGCTTTATTATGTGCTTATACTTATACCTATACTGATAGTTACACTCATACTTATAATTATACTTATACTTATCCGTACGTTTCCACCCCATATTTCATTTATACATACCTATATGTATTTTCATTTTTATTTATAAATTAGGTGCTTAAATCCTTCATAATATCGCAGCAGGCAGTAAGATACGATTTTCTCTAAAATCAGATCGTTAAAGGCCAGTTCTTTAAAATTTCTGCGCTCGACACAATTTACAGAAATATCTACCGATTCTGCTGAAATGGATCTCATTTTACCTTAAAGTGCGACGTAAAAAGTGAAGGGTCTAATCATTAGAGAGAGTTTCTGAGCTCGTCGAGTTGTTTCAACAGAAATAAGTTGATACAACTAAAAAATTCTTTGAAGACCTCAACTCTTCTTTAGTTTAAAACTGGTTTTTATTGGAAGAGATGATGCCTACTTTTCCATCCATATCTTTCAACTACTAATATGTACCTATTTTTGTTAGCCTCAAGACGTTCAATTTCTGATTTTAATATGGGTTCTCTTTACCTTCAGTGTCGAAGGTACTAAGCTCTCTGAAGATCTATGGAGCTTACATTTTTAATATAATATGTTCAGCTGTTCTCTAGTTTGGTACTAACAAGGGGCTTTGAACGCCGTTTTGTATTAAGAGATCGTTTAGCTTGGGTGATATATAGGTCGTCCACTATATTCAGAGATTTTTACCCAACAGATGCACAAACCAATTAAGGAAATATTAAGAGATCACACTTTACTTTCCAAGCTCTCCAGCGATCTCTAACTTCTTTCTTCTCATGGATCGAACTTTTATAAGAATAAGCATGTGGTTTCATTTTCCTATACATCATCGCTTATGAAGTCCACTTATCTGTCAATGGTTTAGGAAGTGATCCATTCGCATCCGTTTAACCCTAACCACTCTTTAAGCCATTGTATGAACTCAATAGCATTTGATTAGAATATATACGACCTCTTCGAGCTTTCTTAGTCTGAACTATAATGGAAACCGAGTCACTTCGAGTAAGTTG